ACTGGTCTGTAAAGAAGGAGGAGAAAAATGAAAGGGGAAGGGAGAGGAGGACAGAGGGGAAGGGAGATACAAGCCAAAAGATAAAGAAAGGGACGGGAAGAGAAGAGAATGGACGTGAAAAGAACAGAAGAGGAATTTTAACATGAGGAAGCTTAGAGATTAACGGGGGGGGGGGGGTTATGAAAAGAGATGGACGAGAAGCACACCAGAGAAAGGACACTATAGTTATGTTAAACAAATAAACTATTTTCCCCTTTACTTTAGCGTAAATACTGGAGGATGGGGAAGGATGGGGAAACAGCTAGCCAGGGTAGCTCTGTTTGAAGTCTACTGGCTCCTTAGTTAAAGGAATATGAAAATAGTGAGTGCAAGATGAAATGAGAAGATTGATATCACACTCATGTCTATACTATAAATATGGAGCTAGATCCAGCATGTAGCCTAGTATAAGCACACACTAGGCTGGTTCTGTCCAAAGTTCAAAGACTGTCTACCTACACCTCTAAAACTATAGCTTGATATTTTAGGAAATACACATATTTGCTTTTTGCTGCAGCAATTAACATTGGCAATAGTAATAAACTGCAAGGCATTATGATAAACTGCATTGAGAGGCTTCAACGAAACATTTGAAGCATGCATACAGTTTATCACTATAATAAAGTAAGACATAAAAGTAGCTTCTACAATGTCAATTCTATGCTGGTAAGACAGGCATGATTTATTTCTATAAAAGAACCCGATTTTAAATCTTAGCTTCCACATCAAGTCAGTAATATGTGTTTTAAAAGTAGGATGTTCATCCCACTAAAAATACTAAGATATTTATAAGTTGTAACACGTTCTATAACAGAACCATCCAGCGTACTAATTTGATGTGCTTAAGATCAATAAGAGATTTGTGTAGAAGTGAAAAATCTGATTAAGATAAGCAAGTGCTTGAGCACTGGATAAAGCAGTATCATAAATAACAGTGTCTTCAGCATAAAATGATATTTACAGTTCCTCACACTGTTATAAATATCATTTATACATAAAGTGAACAGCAAGGGACCCAAAATCAAACCTTGAGGAACTCCCTTTTAGGACATTTGACTTCACACCATCTGTTTCAGTGGCCTGGGTTCTATCACTCTTTATAAACCACACGCAGGTGTCACCCAGTGAGGACAATTATCTCAACAAAATGGAATGATCAGCTGTGTGAAGGCTTTTGACAAGTCAATGAACAGGGCTGCACAAAAAGATTTTTCAAGTACTTTGGCAATATCTAACAAGTACTGTAGCATTACATTTATTCATTTAGCTGCTTGCTTTTATCCAAAGCAACTTACAATTGACCCTTCGCTAAGCCCCGCCCCCCTTAGTTGCTAAGTCCGACAAACTGTTGGCCCTGGCACTGTCTATTACTGCACTGCCCGGAGAAATATTGTCAAATTTGTTGGAAAAAGCGATCTCAGAAAGAAGCAGACTGTTTTGCAGTTGCATTATACATTTGAAGGTTGTATTCTGGCTGTCAAACTGACTCAAATGGACGTGAAAGAAAATGAAAGATAGAAGCTAAAGCCTACCAGTCACACAGTACAAGTGAACCACCGCATCCCCCTACGATTGAGACAAAAGACAACGATATTAAGGATCAACACTGTTCCTGTACATCTGGGTAGGTCTCTATTCATTATTACAATCATTAAAAAGCAGAATAGTAGGGCTTTTATTTACATTACATTCAGTAGGAAGCTAGCTAGCGTTAGCTAACTAACATTACATTAGGAACAATCCACAGCTGACATTTTTTGGATTTATTTTAGGTTTTAGAAAGACGTACTTCTCTTTCTAAAACTCTTTCGTACTTCTCCTATCAACCTCTCTGGGTAGTGACTGTAACTATTACAAGTGCCTCGGGAACAGTGTTTGACCATATCTTAGAAAAATGCAGCCAAAACAACAGAAAACGACTCTTTTTGCAGTAGAGTCAATGGAACACATCTATGAAAGTGTCAGACCTCAGTTAGAGCAAGTCCCATATTACGCTGTGATTGGCCAGCTGTGTATTCAGGGCGTGGCTTAGCAAAGGGTCAATTGCTATATATGTCAGAGGTCGCACGTCTCTGGAGCAACAAGGGGTTAAGTGTCTTGCTCAGGGACACATTGGTGTCTCACACTGGATTCGAAGCCAGGACTCTCACACCAAAGGCATGTATCTTATCCACTGGGATGGTGATGGAGAAGTAGCAGCTGTTATTGTACAGTGCCCAGGTCTGAAGCCAGATGAATATTTATTTAGAATGTCACTTTAAGATAACAAACCACACAGCTATTTATTTACCAGAGACTCCAATATTTTAGCGAAGAAGGATAATTTAGAAATTGGCCTGTAGTTATCAAGGTGACTAATATCTCCACCTTTGTGAAGAGGCAGTACATGGGCAACTTTTCATATATCAATATCAATCTTCTAATTCACAGAAAGCAAGTTTACCAAAATGTTGTTCCTTTTAATTAGAAGTTGCTCTTTGACCACAACTTCCCACAAAGTTAAATTTGATTCTACAGTAATGTTTCTTTTCTGTGAATGAATTCACCCTGCCTTAACCCTAAAATATTTTCTATAAAATATTTCTATTATTATCTGCAGTTGAAGAGGAATATTTGCCCATGCTATGCCAAGAAAGAAAAAGCTGTTGGAAATGCTGAATCCTTGACATCTTACATCATACAAGTACCAGCTATTAATCTTCAGTGTACTGTACAAACATTGGTATCTGCCCTCAAAAACCCTTAGATAAAAAAGAGAGAAGAAGAAAGCAAAGTGGGAAAGATGAGAAAGACGGGGAATAAAAGAGGAGAAAGAGAAGGAAAAGAAATGAAGAAATGGGTAGGAATGAGGAGAAATGACAATGTGAAAAGGAGAGAGAAAGGAGAAGAGGGAGGAGGGGAGTAGACGAGCAGTTGTTGAGGAGCAATATCAGGCATGGATGCTTTTTAAGACAACAAGACTGCACCAATCAGAGCATTGTGACAAATAAACATTGCCCATTCAGTACACACATACACAGTCCTTTATATCATTGCAGGTATGAGTATCAATGCCTCTGTCAACCTCGAGGTTTAAGCTGGGCTTTTTGCGGAACACATTTTTTGTTGCCCACACTCCGTTTGTTGTTGCATTAGATATAAATCGCTCTCAGATTTGCCCTTGTATTGAAACCACTCTGCCTCAAAGTTCTGATCTCATGCTTTGTTTAAACTGAAACACGCTGTAAATCCTTGTCTTTTTTCCCAGCTGGTGTCCTGAAAGTTCACAGCTCCTGATGTTGAACAGTTTGTGCTTCTTGGTCACAAAGTCTGTGACCAGAGTTTCTTTCTACTTTTGTACTTGTTCAGTGAGGGGGCCTCTGTGTGTACATTTTGTGAGCCATGTGTGAAGGACTACAGTGAGTGCTTGAACATCCTGCTCTAGCAGACAATGTCAAACAAGCATATTTTGGTATTAAAGGTTCAGTGTGTAATATTTAGGAGGATCTATTGACAGAAATACAATATATATATATATATATATATATATATATAATATGCATAAGTCTTCAGTGGTGTATAAAGACCTTACAAAATTAACTGTTATGTTTTTGTTACCTTAGAATGAGCCATTTCTATCTACATACACCGCGGCTCCCCTTAAATGGAAGTTGCCATGTTGCGCCGCTATGTTATGTTATGTAGCGTTTATTCCCTGATTCTATTCAGGTGCACCGCTATTAATTATTCTGCCTTAGCAACTAATGGATAGGTTATCATTTCCCCTGTCTGTACTGGCTTTGAAGTGATCCTCTCCTAGTGCAACTTCACTGTCAAATGGCAGTTCCAGACCCGAAGCGATGACCTTGTGCGAGGCAGAACACAAAATGAGCAGTAGTCAAACAATGCAATGCAACTTTTTTACCATTTTCTCTCTGTGGGAGGCATTTTGGAATTCAGCGAAAAACCTGGAAGAACATCATCGTAGTCGTCACCGATATGACTCCTGCATGTGCCTGAGAGAGTGCAGCCGCTCTCTCGAACATCTCTTATACCATGCAAAAATATTTTCCAGCATATCAGTGGAAGCTAATATGAGGCTTCAGCAGTTTGAGTCAGCCAAATCAAGTGGGTAACTGTCTTGGCATCAGGTAAGGGTTTACTGCTGCCATGTCCCGGCAACACACCTGACTACAACAACGTATCCCTGCTGGAGGTCAGCAAGGAACTCTGTCTGTGGGAAGGCACAAGATGCTCATTTAAAGTACTTTCAGAGGTTTAGTGCAGCGAATAAACGCCAAAATGTTTTGATGATTGATTACGTTCAAGGAAAACCAAAATATCTCATTTGTGAGGATTGCATTTTTTTATTAATTGAACACCTTTTTGGTTTTGAACTGTTGGATAAGACAAAACAATCAAATTGAAGACGTCATCTGAAAATGATTCAGCAACTATTTTGTCGTTTAATTCATTTTTTAGGCAAAAACACTCTCTGTTTCCAGCTTCTAAAAACGATTTGCAATTATGCGACAGTAAACTGATTGTTGGACAACACAAGCTATTTAAAAACATCATCTTGGGCTTTAGATATTTATAACAGGCTTTTTTCCCTCTGTTTTCTGACATGTTGGTTGATTTATCAATTAATCAATTCATTTATCAATTCATTTTAAATAAATGTTAGTTGCAGCCTTATCACTTTGGGCCATGGGAACTAGTGATTTTTCTTCATTTTCTGATATTTTATACAGGAATGAATCAATTGAATTTAAAAAATAAGTTCAATAAGTAGTTTCAGCCCTGCTTCATTTCTTCATGAAACCTCAAGGTGCATTCCCTCTCCTTGTCTTCAGTCTCTATTTGTTGTTTATTCTATTATTCTTCCTTTTCTTTCTTGTCTGTCTCTTTGTCTCTGCATTTGTGTGTGTGTGTGTTTCCTATTCTCTCTCCAATAGATAATGTATCTGTATGTGTTGCAGGATCACTCTGAATGGGATGAAGGTGTCCAGGCCAGACGTTCGCATCGGCCGCTACAGAATGATTAAACACGAGAGAGACAAACACAACGAGCCCAACCCACAGAGGTACTGCATCATTGTCCAAACTCCTTCTCCGGCTTTCCATTTGGATCGATCGAGCTGCTTTTGTGTCAGAGCTACACAGTTCAGATGTTTCTTTCCAACTTTTTCATCGCTCTTTGAAAGAATTATGATTATGTGGCGCTGCAAAGGGCACGCTATCAATAACATGCCCTTATAATGAGTGTTAGCTACAGGGCAATATACTTAAACAAGAGCAACACAGGCAATAGGCCAGCAGTGAGAGGTATTAGCAGTTTATCATGATTCCTCTGTCCTTTGTCGTCCACATTATCTGCTTTCATTCTGTCCACTTTAAAATACAAGATATTTTAACCTTTAAACATTGATGGTTAAATTAAAAGTCATGCCTTTTCTTTTTTTTTAGCAATTTCTTGTTTCACACTGTGCATATTCACATCTAAGAGCTGATTTATTTCACAGGTGAGATTTATATACTAGACGGGTATATAAGAGATAATTGGAATGTTTCACTGAATAATAACTCACTGTGAAAGAGCCAATAAGTGTGATTTCTCCTTATTGTACTTGAGGGCAGTCTCTAGTAATACTGAGAGATGAAAGAACATTATTAACTTAACTTTGCCTACTTCTGATCCTGCTATTTCACTTCTTACCGCCTAAAAATCTTCCTTAACCTCTACTTTCTCTTTCCTTTTCACATCTAATATTGCAGCAGTGATGTAGAAGTGTATTCCGGGAGTCTGTGACATCACTGTTGAGTGTGATTACTGGTGTAACAAAACTCTGACCACACCACAACCATCAGTGATACTGGGTGTTGTCAGAGAGAGCAAAACATTGCTTTTCAGCCCTTTATATAGCTGAAAGTGTCACTTAGGTCAGTGAAATTAGACATTTGTCATATTAACTGACCAACAGTCTTAAATCTGATATATTTCTTTGGCTTTTTCCCTGTTTGCATCTCTCCTGTCACCCTTTATTATAAACAGGACACATGAAAGAGACAGACTATACATTATGTTGTTTTTTCATTTACATTTCCACTGCCAGGAATTTTAACATTTGGTGGAGAAATACTGGCTAATTTGAATGTTAAATTTTTGTTGAAATATATTGAGTCAGAAATACTGGAAGAATCTATAAACCTCCATAAATTACTGAGGACCTCAGCGTCCTCAATGGTAGCTACATCTTTGGATATTTGTCTAAAAAAAAACAAACAAAAAAAACATCCACTTTCACTAGTGCTGCTGCTGCTATTTATTCAACCAAGACAAAGGGAACAGGGACCATAAAGCCAGAAATAAAGCAATTAAACTGGTCTCACAGTAAGTCAGGTATTTTTTATGTTTGGGGAGTTACAGAGAGAAACATGTTTCCTTTAACTGATTAAACATTTCACTCATGACAGCATATTAAAATTTTAATGCACGAAGCTGTTGGAATGCATGAAGACATGTTAAATAAATAACATATATGCATTTCAAATGTGCTATAGCAGTTTTCTTGTCTTCAGTTTCTGCTAATATTCAAGTTACATAAATACTGAAAGTACTGAATGTGTAGCCTTAGCTTGCTGTAATGGCACTAGATGTGGCCTTACAGATATGGATTGGGGCTTCAAATGTAAAAGTATCACATGACTGAGGAACATAAACATAAACATAATGCGCTGAAGAATCACAACTTGGCCTTACTTGTCACTGAAAGATTGGAAGATTTTAAAATGCCAAGAACAAAACAGTTTCACTAAACCAAAAATGGCTTTTCAGAGATACAACCCCGGGGCTTAAATTGCTCTTTTGGCTACACCCATTTAAATTGCTTTTCAGACAAATGTGTAAAAATGCTTCCTGTATAAATGTGTTATTTTATGGTTTGATGAATGAGACCCAATATGCAAAGATGAGCCCTTCTAGACACATTAATCACCAGGAGTATAGCACCTCACATTAAGCTGCTTAAACGTGGATTATCACTGTTTATTCTCCTCTAAGAGCCCTCGTTTTCATGCCTGGGTAGGCCAGGCAACGATGCCTCTCAACACAAAAATCAATAGCTGCTGTAGCTGGGGCAGAATGAAGATATAGTGAACTCTGTTCCCTCTTCTAACATTGCTTTAGTGTGATCTCATGTGACATTATTATATCATAGCATCGTGACAGGACTACGTCAGGGTTCACAGTCGAGGTCTCTTGTTGTGGCTCCTAAATTAATTTATAAGAAGATTAAAAATACAGACAGCGAGAGTTACATGTGAAAGAGAAGTAACAGCCAAACACATTATGACATGACCGATTGGAATTTTGTATAGAGCTACTGAATATGTGTTGTTTGAGCCTCTGATACATAATATGTAGTATGTTTTAAAAAGTATTACAAGTATTTAGTCTAGAAACCATTTTATTTTTTGTTTTTTATTTTATTAAACATTATATGTGTAAAGATTTGGTTCAAATTGCCACTGGATCATTATTTTAAAAAAGAAATCCCAGCAACTCCATAAATTCACTATTTTTCAACTTTCAAACTCAACCAAATAATACTTATTGCTTTACATGAGTACAAAGTACAAAGATGGCGTAATGAATGGCTTAGTTGACACTTAAAATGCATTGGACCTCATGCAGGAACATTTTCATATTCTAATCTTTTTCTCACTTTTTTCGTACGGTGGGCTCCTACGAGTGTGCCACATCAGATGCTCCTAACTTCAGATGACTGTGTAAATGACATACATAAACATGATTGAATGCCTTCTGTGTGTGACCGAGGCCACATTCATAAGAACTGTACCTTAGCATAGTTGGCGCCCCGATAAGACCATATAAGGCTACATGTCCTGTCACATATGTCATTCATCGTAAGTGTTTATTCATGACAGTGAAGAGTAAAAAGAAGTACTTTATGAGTTTGGAGATCAAAGTCCTGCTTTTGGACATCCGTAAAGGAAAGTCTATCATTGGCGTCAGCAGTGGAATTAAGGGAAAGGTGTGGTCTGTCTGCAGAGTTGCAGCTCCAACAGGTTTTACATTTGCAGAAGCACAGCACGTGGAAATCTAAACCGCGACAATAGCCATTCATCTGTCTCATATCAGCATTCTGTCACTCTCTTCCAAGAGCCTGACACACTTCGAATTGAGTCGAACAGGTAATGTCAGCATAATTATGAAGTGTAATTTATATTGGATTTTTAAACTCAAAATTGCACATGACTCTTACAACAGGTCTGGACCACTCGTAAATTGTGTTCATACCTAAAAGAAAATTGAAAATATGAGAAAATTGGTGAAGTTCTCCTAAATCACTCACGCAAGCCACTTAAGAACAAATCTGTTCACAAGTGGTTCTTGCATGAGGCCCATTGTTCAGCCATGCATTTATGATTCAAAGAGTTTGATCCCAACATTTTATATATCTGATGCAAGAATTTAAAACTTTGTAATGGTTATAATGTGATGTAACACCTTCCCAGATTATTTTTGCTTCACTGTCAAGCAATGTGTATGTCTTCTTTAGTGATGCTAATTGTGATTTGTAAGGAGCTGCCAGCAACTTGTTTATCTGAAAAGATGATTTTTAGTTGCTTAGAAGCTTGAACAGAGAAAAGGGTTCTCACATCCTGGCGTCACATTCAAACTTTTTATTGACTCATTCAGATGTGATCACATATAGTCTGCTCTTCTCCATGCTAAAAGTTAAACGTAAATCCACCCCATTATACAGGCGTGGGAGGAAGGGAAATTTGAAGCGGAGGCTGTGACATCAACTGAAAAGAAATTACAGGGTGTTTTTTTACCTGCAACAAGCTCCTGCTGAGTGTCACAGAGACTTAAAACCTGTCTGTGAAAAAAGGAATATGAAAAATATGGTTGGAACATAAATTTGTTGCGTCGCTTGAAGAGAAAAAACCTTGCTCACTTCCTGGTCCTGGTATAAAACTTTACTGACCTTTTATTGATTTGATAAGCGTCTTTATTCTGTCAAAATATACCTGTAGTGTGCCCTTCTCCGTGGCAACCACTACAAGTCTGGAAGCAAGGCAGATAGCCAAAAGTGGAGCCTGTGACATCAACTGAAAGATTTAATTTTTTTGACCTGACACAAGCTCCTGCTGAAACAAGTGAGATGTCAGACATCCATCCAGAAGTGGTTTAGCTTTAAAACTAGCAATCTATTCTGTAAAATGGCAGCAATAACTTAAATGTGACGATGTCTAAAACAACCAGGCCTGCGTAATATTTCATCCATCACTGTTTCATGTATGTGTGTGCCAGAGAGAGAGAGAGAGAGATTCAACGACCTCTCAGTAATTGCCTGCTGAAATGACACCAATAGAAATGGGAGCCAGCTAGATCAGTCTAGTCTAGTTGCCTTCATCAAAATCAATAAATCAATGAAAGAAAGTGTGTGTGTGTGTGTGTGTGTGTGTGTGTGTGTGTGTGTGTGCCTCTGCTTGATACTCCGTTCCAGTTTTTCTCCGCTCTGCTCTCTCTCTCTGGTCCTTAGATCAGACTTCCTCAATAAGAGGTGACACCAACAGGGATGGTATTTATTTGGGGCCAATACATTATTCATAACTTTAGCAAGGGGCGCAAAAAATAGTGGCTTATTAGTCGGCACACACTTCATTTTTTACAGCCCTTCTGGACACTCGTTATAATGTCTCAGAAATTTCGGCTTAAAGGATCTTTTGAAACGAAGTGGGATTTGGACTTTAATAACGCACGGTGGCTCGAATAATAAGGCAATTGTGAAAGGAGGAATGGCCACCTCATGGAAGTATTCAGGCAGTGTGGGTGGAGTGGAGAGGGTTTTGTTTTTCCCTTATGCTCTCATCTCATGGAGGAAGTTTTAAATTTCTTTCAGAGCAGTTTTGAGGGCTTATGAATTTCTCTGCAAGTGTTAAACCCTTGATCTGTCAAGTTATCTTGTATTTTGTATAATTGAAAAAGTTGTATGAAAGAAAAATGGGGAATCAACTTCAACTTCCCTCTCCTCTCCTTCTGTCGCTTTCTGCGTTTTTGCCAGCTGAACTGTAGAGTCTGGATCTGTGGTTGCAAGCAACCTACTGCCTCAGTTTTCCTGCTCAACACCCGCTGCCACAATTATTATTATTAGTCCTATTACTATTATTATTATCATTAATATCACCATTGCCAAGTGCTTGCCCACGGTGAGAATTGTTGGGTCTCTGTAAATAATATTACAAAGAGTACAGTCATGCTGATGTTTAGCTGGTGTAATGTTTACCACGTTCACCATCGTAGTTTAGCAAGTTATAGCTTCGTCAATTTGTCAAAAACCATAGTACTGAACAAATTAACATTTTGACCTAATGATGATGCTAGAGGAAAGGTCAGTGGATCTATTTTATATATTTACAGTTCATCCTCAGAAGTGATTTCAATTAATCCTGAGGGAGGAACATGGATGTCCGTACCAAATTTAAACACAATCTATCCGATAATTCAACACATTGACAGAGAAAGGGTGCTCCTTTTTCTTCTTCTTTTTGATCTTTCATTAGAATTCACAGATTTGAACATGTTGGGTTTCCAATAAAAATGCCTTCAACCCCTTTCTTTTATCTGAGGAACTCCCTGTGACAAATTAGGCGGTCATGGAGCCATACATTTTTTCCGTGAAGACATGACCCCAAGTTGGACCTCAATTGAAATTGCTGTTTATGATTCATGTGACCGGCAAGGTGCGAGGGACTGACAATAAATGTTTACAGTTCACATTTTTGTGAATGAAAGTCAACTTGAAACCATTCATTGTCAAAGTCACATTTACAGCAACATCCTACAACATCAGTTTGTCTTTTTGAAAAAAACCTTTAATAAAATCAGTTTTACTTCTCAGGCTGTACACACAGAGGTCTGTCACTCAATTACAGAGATAAACTAAGCTTCTGTTTCCGCACTTTGTCTTCAGGTGCAGGGTTGCCTTTCTGTTTAGATTTAGATTAATGATTGAGCCTTTTGGGAGAGTTTATCTGGAGTACCTGCATAATGTCCAGCATTTACCAAGGGAAGCATTGTCTCGACTTTTTGATGAATGTTTACTATCTCCTCTGCATTCACACACACACACACACACACACACACACACACACATATACATATTCAGTCACACATGCACAAAGTCTCGCGCAGGAGTCCATTCTCTCAGCCTTTTTGGAGATGCTGGTTAGGCATAGCAATGAGATATTGGCCCAGCGGAAGTAAGAAAGAGGCACATTCATCACCAGTCGCGAGTATCAGTTTGCACACACACACATGCACATTTTGTCTAGAATAAGGCGCTTCATGCATTGCAAATGAATTAGTTGCTGAGTAACAGTGTTCAATATTCCATTCATATCATCCTGGGACAGTGCAGATACAGGGTGTGTTTGTATGTGTGTTTAGGATGAACACAACTTTTACACTCTTCTGTAGAATCCCTTTAAGGAATAGTTTGACATTTTGGGAAATATTAGCTTTCTTGCCAAGTGTTAGATGAGAGGATTGATTATCGTTCTTAGGTCTGCACGGCACATATGTGTGGAATGGAATCGGGGAAAGCGTTGACCTGACTCAGTCCACCGGTAACAAAATCCACCAACCAGCACCACTAACTTATTAACAAATTAAGACGTTATATCCGTACTAAAACAACAATTCACTGTTTTATAGTTTAGTTGCGGTTAGATGATGGATTTTATCTTTCTTTTTCTATTACATAGCCCCCCTTAAAATGCAGGGAGACGCTCAACAGACTGCTACTGGTTGACTTGCAAACCGAGGGTCTTGTGACAAGCTAGCACTACTGCTAGCGAGCTAATCTGCTAACAGCTATTACTGTTGGCTGTGCAAGCTGTTATTATGTTATCAAATAGACTTGAGGGTTTGACCATGTTGTGATATTTAGTGAGTTTTTATTTGAAAAAATAAATATTCTGATATATAATAGATATTCTGAACAGGGTTACTGGAAGTCTTTGAGTGAAATTCTGTGATAATGGAAGTGTAAGACACTGAAATGTTTTGACAGGATCCTTCAGTGTGTTTTTCAAAATCTGATTGTATTGTATTGATCTGTAAGTTATATGTGCATGGTTATTCATAATGGATGTAAAATGTTTTGGAGGGAGATTAGCTTGCTACAACTCTGTTTCTCATGATTTAGTTTTTATATTTTGAAGTGTTTGTATGGGTGTTTTTTTATTAACACGCTTAACTGCGTTTTTCTTTTTTCTTTAGAAATAATGACTAATGTTTTAAGAACAGTTGTGTTATGCACTTATTAACTGCAGACAAGCTAGCAATGCTACCAAAAACTAACATACTGACACGTTTTTCCACTTTGATGTTTTTGACGGATTAACATGATCATTTGTGAGCTTTAGAGGTGCTGGTGGGCTGATTTTCTACCTTTGGACGGTTGTTTCTAATCTTAGTGCTAAATTAAGCTAATAGCAGATATGAGAGTGGTATCTATCATAGGTAAGAAAGCAAATTAGAGTGTTTCCCAAAATGTTGAACTGTTCCTTTGAGACATTTTTCTACAACAGGGTCAAGTAGGCCAACTCAAAATATATGCCACCAGAACAAAATAACCCCCAGTAGCTGGCATAAAGAGCCATTGTTGAAATCTTAAACCAGAAATGTTTTCCTGTGAGACCCTCAGTGGAATTAAAATAGAGCTTTACTTAGCCCAGTTAGGACTCAACCTGGAAATCAGGCTAATGAATATGTAAGGACTGTCTTTGTCTTGCCCTCTAATTCTCTGAAATAAAAATAAGATGAGTGAGACAAAATAGGTTTGAAATGATGCACATGTGTGCATGCATGTGATGTTCACTGTATATACTGTATATTGGGATTAGTTTATTGCTTTTAATCTCAGCTGTTTATCTTTCCTCCAGTTCTCATTCACTTAATTTCTAACATCAGTCTATCTTGTTCGCTCCATCTGTCACTCCCTTTCTCAGATATATATTTATCTCTTTGCCCATGTAACCTCCATTTTTCTCCCCTGCAATCCAGCCTTCCTTTAAACCACTTGCTTTTCTCCTCTCCTTCCCGTCCTTTCCTTGCACTCTTAAACTAATTCCCCTTGCTTTTAGGTACAAGTGCCAATCCTTGGTAGACGTCAGAAAACATGTAAATCTATTTATATCTTATTGCATTATATTGTTCAAGCGAAAGATGCTTGACAACATTTTTTTCCAGCTTCCATTCATGCCAATAAAAGCTCCTTTTGATTTGATTTGAGAGAGACAGAAAAAGAAAGCGGGAAGAACGAGATTTTTACTAGTCAGTTCTGACAAAGCTCTGTAGACTCAGTAGTCCATGTTGGATTGAAGTGTCAAATACAGTTTTACGTCCAAGCATGTCACTAAGAAGACGTCTTTTGTTGGAGTCCATCACTGCTGTATTGTGAAAAGTGAATGTGCACAGCTGGACTTTTGCACACATCCGCCCTTTCTCTGTTCTCAGGAAAAAAGGCATTTTTAAGACAGGAAATGGTGTAAATATGTTGTTAGACACACACATACCCGTGGCCTCATTTCCATCCTGACTGGCTGCAAAAACTGATTCTACTGTTTGTTCTACTGTTTGAACTGTTTGTGTTATGAATTGATTTTAGGCCAAAGGTTGTACCACAAACTGAACTGAGGCGCAGCAGCAGCACTGTGTAACTGTCTGACGCACTGTGTGAATTGTTTTAGGTCAGAGTTTGCACCACAAACTGATCTGAGGCGCAGCAGCAGCAGCACTGTGTAACTGTCTGACGCACTGTGTGAATTGTTTTAGCATCTTTAATGCTAAAACCAGAGCAGATCCTGATGTAACTGCTGAATCACAGCCAATGGGGAAGGAGATTCCAGGATAATTCAAACAAATCCGAGGCGGATGTGATGGATAAAACTGTCCACTGAGTCACAGTGCGATGCAATAGCACCACCTGTTGGTCAAGATCCACATTGTAAAGGAAACTTGATGTGAACTTGATGTTAAAGATGCTAAACAGAACCGTTTCTTCTCTCTGCTTTCAGGTTATTGAACAATTGTACAATTACCTAGAGGGGGCCTAGTAGAAAGACTAATCAATACAGACATCAGGCTCTTTAGATCCTATGGGTTTAAATGTGGATTTTGATGTTAGCATTCATGCTGTAAATTGAGTTTTGGGTGTGTTTGAAGGTTGTAGGTATACAGGACTTTTTCTCCCATACTCCTTCCAATATTGTATTTGCATTTTTTGATTTCCTGATTGCTTTCTGCATTGATTTATTCTCAAGTTTTTTGAAGAGTTGTGTTTGATTCGTATGTATTTGGACCTCGGGATGTACTGATTGTGAAATCCATTTCCCTTGTGTACCTACACAACAAAGCAGGTGTGCTCTATTTCAGTGATTCCCGACCTTGAGATCTGGACTCCCGTAAGGGGTTGCTAATACATTTGAAGGGCCCTTAGATGATTAACAAAAGAGGACACAACTTGCTGTGTCCAAGCAATCAAACACACTGAGTTACCCACATATTCTCACACAAACATGCACAATTATTTCCTGTATCTATATATTTATTATAACACAATACTTCGTTTTTATTTCACACTTGCTTTTGCAATGTAAGCACCTGTTCCCCATGCTAATAAAGCCCAATTAAATGTCATGAAAAAATGTTACTTTGAATTTTTGGCAGTAGGTATTGTTTTTAATTCAGTTTTCTTCATTTTCTCACAATTTCTCTTTACTTCTCTTCCATCACCTCCCTCCCCACCTCTTTCTTTCTTTCGCCCTCCAGATTTAATAAAATACAGAACACCAAGAACACGATGAAGAGGGACGGCATCAGCTCTCTGACCTACAGAGTGGTTCAGGTCAAGAGGTACCCCCTGTATACAAATATCTCTGTGGAGATTGGCAAACCACCGCCCCGGCCTTTTAAGGGCTAGAGAGGAAGATGAGGGGGTTGACGCACATTGACTGGAGGGAAAAACACAAGAAGACGGGAGCTTTTAAGAAGGAAAATAAAGAGAACATTTCCATTTCCAGATATCTAGGATATCTGGAAATGGAGAGGAAAAAGTCACAAGCACATCATGGTCTTTTTCTCCTTCTTTACCTCTCTCTCTGTTTTTTATTTTTTTAATTTCAGCTTGCCATTCTGTTACCAGAACTCTGGGTTTTTCCCCCTTCAGCTTTTTCAAGCAGCCAATGGCTTAACATCTCCTACCTTTTACCATTCAGTGACTTCAGAATTAAAGCGTGTGGACCAAAGCAGGATTATCAGTTGCTGACCAAAGGTTGGCATCAAACATGGAAGCTGAAACTTGGAGTCTCTCCATTAATAATCTTTTGTAAACTGGAGAGGGCATCTAATGGCATATCGACGGAGGATATTAACAGGAACTTTTGTTGGAAGGTTAGAGATGAAACAATGACATCATTTGAGACTTTGGAAAGCTGTCCTGGCCTTGACTGAAATACTGGACAGCATCGAGTGGGATTTCTTGGACTATTTGAACAAGTTCATATAACATAACATTAACAAGTCTGATGACATGCAATGATGGTCTATGGAATTGTATCTGATGGACTGCATATCAAAGAAATCGGCCAACTCTTGCTTATTTTGAGAAATGTTGCTAAGAGACAATTTAATATTGACATTTTTGTCAGGGAGTCATTTGTTTGGATCTAATTACTCAATCAAATACTCCGGTATAAATTAATGAATGTGTATTGTGCCTGCATCTACCGCAGAAGATTCAAAAACAGTGCTGGGACACGCTGATAAAACATGTTCGTCAGCAGCAACAAACTCCTGAGAACTCTGTTTTTGTTCTCTTTTTATAAATATAAACTAAAACGTTGGAAACAGAAACTGTCGTGGAGTTACGGAGAAGTTTTACCAACAAAAGTAAACATATTGGAGATATGAAAGGATTTCTCCTGTGCTGAATGCAGTGTGATGGAACTATCTTGGGAATGCATTTGAAATCAAATCAAGGAACTGAAGACAACAATGCAGATATATACTGACAGCTCAGTCATGATTGTAACCCCATGTGGCACATATTGGAGATTAGGTTTCTGGAAACCTTGTTTTTTTTCACTCCACTTGAAGAAAGATAGAGATTTATTTTGGTGATCTCAGCTTTGAAGGTGCATTTTTGTCTCTATAAGATGCAAATGGCTTGAGGTACACTAATATTCCTTAAGGGACAAACGTGATGAAGTACAAATATGCATTTTAGATTAGAAAATTGGACATTTACCATATTTTCTGAACATATATGGGGTTAAAAATCAGAAATGAGCTGTCAGGATCAAGTCATGATTTACAGGAAAAAGCCTTGTGGATACAAAAGCTCACTCTTGTAACTTTACACTGGCTCCACAGACAAGGCTAGGTGAAAAGTAATGAATTTTAGAGGTCATTCTTTAGCCTACAGCATAACCTGGGCGTGAGAAGTTTTTTAAATCACAATTCATTAAACCTCTGTTGAAACTGTTACTATGTCATTTCTCTATCTGCTTTCTTTCAATCTTTGAGAAAAAGACTATATCATATCCAGAAAGAGGAAATTATAAGATAGTGATAGTTCTGTTGGTGGAAATTGTGAATTTTAAGGCTGTAATGAGAAGTTATCATTTGAGCAGTGTGACTGACATCTCTATTGCTGCTTCAGATTTTATCATAATCAGTTGTCAGTCCTGTATTGGAATCTGTTTAACACACTTTCATAAATGTAGGGAATTAAACAGTCCGAGTTACTTTTTTGTTTTAATTTTAAAAAGTTTTTTCTGTCTCATATGAGTTACATAACTTTCCCCGTGTGAAAAAGGAATGAGCTAATTTCTGATTTCCTACATCAGTGTATTGGAGCCTTTCACTCTTTTATGCTTTGATCACTTTTCTGCCTTTGTTTTATTTTTCCTCTACCGTTGACACAATTATTGTTGACGCCTAAACACCAAACCGATGCCTTCAGAAGTTATCTACACTAAGGGGCAGGAAAGGCTATTTTTAATTTGAAGGTCATTTTTGTTTGTGAAATTGTTGTGTATTTTAAAGATGGGTAACACAGAAATTAACACATTTGTTTCAGTTTGAAAAAAATCCAGATCATGAATAACCTATACAAACTACTTTTAACTATCTTTGAAATTTTAAACAGACAGAAGACTTGTGTGCAATGCTGTAGCTGTTCGAATTTTGTATATTTCGGAGCAATTTTGGTGAAAATTGTGTATTTTTGGCCTCCTCTTTGATCAGCCTCGAGGCAAAAAATGTTCCCATCTGTTTGGCTCTTCGTTATCTTCGCCTCAAGCCTGTTGGAAGGTATGATTGCTCCTCTCTGCAACACACACTCCCTGCCACACACACACACACACACACACATTCACACTGTCTTCCCTTTTTTCTTTGCATTATCTCCCCTTTCATTGCCTTTTCTTTCTTACTCTGCCAGTCCAGGCTGTGTGTGTCAATGGCACTCTGTTGTGCTTTGTGGTGGGCCCACTTCAGGCACAGCTGTGTCTCACTAGAGTGCTTCTTCTTTCAATAGATATCGACAGAGCCTCTCTTTGTGTCTCTGAATCTGTGCCACTTACTGTATCTTATTTTTCTTTTTATTCTCTCTTTTTCAGTACACATACCCCATTTGTGATTCCTTCTGTCTCCCGCCGTTTTTCTCATTCTGTCCCCCACTTTATCTGACTCTCCTTTTCTTTTTCACCCTCCCTCTTTTCTTTTCGATAGAGTGCAGGACTCTCCTGGTGAGTTTCGGTGTCCTCAGTGGGCATACTACACATGGAGAGGCCAACACAATCTCTTCTCTGTACTGTTTACGGCTTACCCTGTGCAATATTACCGATTTGTTCACATCTACCCCGTATCCTGCTTTAAAGTAATTGTTTTCAAGTGGGATATGAGGCGCTAATAATCTTTTAAGGGTTGGTTTCAGTTCAGTTTGTAATGCAATCATGCTTTTTTCCCATAAAGATTTATTTTGCCTCTGATTCACCTGTTGATTTAAAATCCTTATGATCAGTACATAACAGACAAAATGACAGCTATTGCTTTTATTTTCTCCATTCTTACAGTATTAAAGAAGTGTGTTAGTGTTTTACTTCCATAAAGTTGGGTAACTTTTGAGAGACAGATTTCAAAAACGGATTGGACAAAATTAATGCAGCAGTGGTTGAGATATCCTGACATTTATTCCCTAGTAAGGGTCAATATACCAAAACACAGGATCCCATAATGCACCTGGATAGCATTTTTCAGCGTTGTGAATTGGGAGGAGCTATAGAGAGCCTAAGTCACTCGCTTCTGCTTCCGGCCCATGGGGCCTTATTTCGGGAAAAATATGTACAGTAGTCAATGGCGAGAGAGAATTTATTTTTTGATCCTGTTTGAACTGTTCCCTGAATATGTTGTTTGTCAGTTTAAAAGATATTTTTTTCCGTCAATAAGTTGACATTTGTTTTAATAAAGTAAAGTTACATTTAGTTTTGTGTGGAAAGTGTTCAATAAACCACATCTCTCGTCTCGCGCAATCGTCACCAACATGATAGTGCAGTAATACTAGCTAACATTCATTGCTTGGTTGCTACTAGCTAGTGTTCCACACAGAAATGTATCTCACCTGATGTGTTTAATCCAACGACTCAAGGTCCTTTTATCACATCATCTACACATGTCAGTTCTTTGAGGTTAGCTTCAGTCATTGAAAGGAAACGTTACGACGTCACATACGCGTCTCTTGGGTTTTTTTGTTCTTTGTATTTATGTGTGTTTTCACAGTCTTATACTTGCAACCTTCTTGACTTTTAAATGTATATTTTAAATTGACCATCATCATATGTGTAATGCAGGGCACAATTCAAACAGGATCAAAAAATTAGTTGTTTCTTCCTATTGACTATCGTACATATTTTTTCCGAATGGTGGTCCACCTTAAGGGGAGGGACTTCTCTGTTTTGGGCGCCCCTGGTTTACATAGACAGAGTGATGCCAGGTTCAGACTACACAATGTCAGCCCAATAATAGATTGGCGACAAATCTCCGAGTTAAATCAGCAGTACAAAACATTAAGAACTTTAGAAGATAAATGATTCTTTCCTAAATAGTCAAAGCCTGTGTATATAAAAATGTGACATTAACTATGACTCCCAAGGTGCATTTCAGCAGGAACATTCAATCACAGAGCTTACAATTCTGTTCCATGCACCACTAACAGGCAGAAGCTACAGATTACCCTGTTGATAAAACTGAATGTATAATCTGCATCTTAAATAAATTCACTTTGGATTCCTCGGTCCATATTATGGACAGATTTGTCAACTATGGCGCTGTGTTTTGTTCTCAAAATCGACCAGAGAGAATGTTTTCTAGAATCGGGGGCTCCTCCTACTTCACATCTGTAGTAGACTCTCCCTTCGTCATAAATGCCCACTTTCATTCCACACAATTCCAGCTTATTAAGCAGACTTTCTGTTTTTTGAGGTTTCAAGCCCAATTGAAACCCTGATGACATTATCAAGGCAAGGTAACATGGGATTTAGATGTGAAGATCAGCAAAAGAAACTTCAGCAAAAATAGTTATTTGAAACCTTTCCTTTACTTGAGAATAAGGAGAACCATGAGGAGTGCTTGATGTTTCTTATTGGACGTTTGACTTTTGAAGCTGTTCCAGTTGTCAAGCACACCTCAGGTGGTTAAGTATTCCAAAATGGTTTTTCAAATAAATTTTTTTGCTTGAGAGCAGACAGGACTTCCAAGCCTGCTGGCATTTTTAAACATTTACTGTATCTCTAGCTATGGTTTTTTTGTACATTGAATGTTGAAAATGTTATATCTTATATAGAATGCATTATGTCATATCAAACCTACTTTTTCTATACAATCAATAAATCTGATGGATAAAGATTGTATGGCAGTGTGTCAGTTGCTTACTGTGTCTTATTAAGTCTTTTGGAAATATCATAAGAAATACATTTTCACCTGCAGACAGAGGTAATCCCAGAGTTTTTTAATGTAATATCTGCAGTTAATACCTGTTTCTATGTGGCCCTGGTGAGTTAGCGGACTAAAATGCTAAACCACCTTGTGGATTACATCTGGCTTTACTTCTGCAGTCTTACATTTTCTCTTATAGTATAAACATATATTTAACACTACCAACTAAATCTACCTCTACTTTAAACTTATTATTCTTTTATTGTCTTGTTGGGGGTTACTGGTCCCAGACTGTCAGAAGAAAAGCTCTGCAGGGAAATCAGGACAGCATCCTCTCAGAGGGCAGCCAAACTGTTCCCAAAACAGCAAAATGTTCATATAAAATCAAAAAAAGCAAGACGAAACACAATGTGAGAGATTTTTGAAAATGTGTTTTAATTTGAGATATTTTACAAGATTTTCCGTAAAGCCGGTGTTTTTTACCAGCTTGATACAAGGATGTTTTTTTAGATGTGACTCATAACAGTTCCCTTTTATTTTAGCCAGTACTTAAAGAAATAGTTTGACATTTTGTTTTTGTTTTACGCTGAGTGTTACATGAGACAATTGACACCACTCTCATGTCTGTATAGTAAATGTAATGCTAACTTAGCTTAGCATAAAGACTGGTAATGGGGGAACAGCCAGCCTCTATCCATAGGTAATAAAAGTCAGCACATACCAATCTCACTTCACCTTACATCTTGTTTGTTTAATCCCTATATAAACCAACATGTACAGGATTTTGTACAAATTAAACAAACAAGATATAAAGAGTTTATTATTGACCTTCAAAGATGCTTGTTGGATTTAGTTATCTTTGGACAGATAGACTGCTGGCTCTTGCTTCATATTTACCAAACAGACTTGAGAAGGGTATTAATCTTCTCATCTAACTCTTGGCAAGAAAGCTTTTAAGCGTATTTTCAGCAAAAGTCAAACTATTACTTAATCTTTGTTTCTTTCGATTATTCAAGAATTTAGTCTCACTCTTACACCGTTTAATTTGAATACTGCTCCCCTCAAGAAAATGTTGTAACTACAGTGAGAGCGTAGTCATTCATAAAGTCTGTGATAAAAATAAAATTCAGGTGTAACCCTTTAACCTTAATCCCAGCCCTTGCATAAAGAAGCTTTTCTGGGAGAATTATGTACTTCATGCAGCAGCAGCTTGGGAGTCGTGCAGTAAAGTAAATGTCATTAAAGGCTCCAGAACTACACAAAAACATATAAAAAGACAAAATTACTTTTGGTTTTCATTCAAAGGTCCCTCTTGATTAAAGTAGTAGCGAATGACAGTAGGAAGATCTGCTGCATATATACCTATATAAAATGACAATACACTGTCTCGATCTCATCATGCACTGAAGCTTACTCTGAAGAAGGTACATGAAGGTAAACAGTGGAAACAGTTGCCTCTATCAAATGCTACATGTTCTGTGTTGTGAACAATTAATAAAGCAGTAAATTACACATCGTTTGTCCTGCTCTACAGTGTACACGCACAAATGTCGTTCCATTAAATGAAACCTTGTTTTCAAATATCGCCCGGTCTGCTCCTACTGTACAGTCATATATTAGTATAGTCTCATACGTTTATATTTCAATTAGCAGGGAAATTGAACTGCAGAATTTATAGAACAGTTACAAATTGTTAATTGCTTTGCTAAGCCATTTCCTAGCCTAAATTGCATCACAGCTATGCATACATTTGGGTGATGCATCAACCCGTGACAGGTCAATTACAATTTCTCATCATCCAATAATCTCATTGGCTTTTTTATGTTGCTAGTTGTTTCCCAAAGCAGCTGTCTGGAAATTAAAAATACCTCCTGGGTAGCTTCTATAAAAGCTTACCAGTCTCTCTCTCTCTCTCTCTCTCTTACAACATAATCTAGTCAACACAAAAAAGGCAGATAAAAGGGTAAATATCTGGAGTGCGCTCACCTTTCAAGAGGCAAGTTTGTTATTTCTAGTTTTTCACATTAGGGTTGAGGGGATTTAAGGCCCTGTGAATCAAACATCTTATTTTTACATCTATGCAGTCCACTTTATCAAAAAGAGAGTTTTAATCCAGTTTTCCTTCATATTTTCATTTGTTTTCAAGGAGTACAATTTTCCTTCTCTGGCGGAATGAAGTCTTCTGTTCTGTCTGAATTTGTTCTTCTTAACATATGGCTGAATTAACCTCCTATTGATCCGGCACCATCCACCCTCTATGCATTGTGTAGGTACCGACCAGTACTGCCATGTTGGTGTAATAATACCTGCCCACAAGGTGTCTATATCTCAGTTAATTTGTGGTAATTTGATTAAACACAACTATATAGGAATATGCACCATAGAAGCACAATATAACTAAAATAATAAAAGGTCTTACAACTACATATTGACTCAGAGCTTGTGATAATGGGCCAGGCTTGTGCACCAAAGTGACAAATTCAGTGGGTCTCATCACTATTGCAGAAATCTTGGATGAAAATCCCTTGTGGAATGGCAGCTTATCTGTTCTGGTGGTTTTTGAAATTTGAATTTTTTTTTACTTTTGGTTCTTGTACAGTTCTGCTTTATGTCTGGCTATTATACTGCTGTTTTCACTGCACAGGATGATTCAGTGTGTTCTTAGAGATGGAAGGTGTATAGATAATTGGTCAGTTTTTCTGGGTGGATGGTTGTTCAGGAGTACAGTTTCTAAGGCGGGAACAGGTGGCAAGACGGTTTCCCTCCCAGTAGCCAGCATCCTGGCCATCGTGACAGCGACACTTGGTGCAGGAGTCGACCCAGATGGGCTCTCCTGCAGGAATCACCTGGCTGCGTGACGCGTCAGTGTAGCAGTTAGGACCTGGATGGAGATGATCGACAGAGCTAAGTGTAACTGCAGCTGAGCAGATACTATAAACACGAAAGCACATAAAGTCAAGGTGACAACATCACTAACTGCATCTAATGATCAAATGTATTATAACTATGTTTGACAGCAGTGCTCATACAATAGAGAAGATCAGTCTCCTGTTGGCCCTTTGTGTTTAACTTTTTACTTTTTAGTGCTATTTTCAACTCACCCTCCTTGCATTCAGGACAGCATTTCCCAGGCTGGTAGACAGGGTTGACGCATGGTGGAGGGGCACAATCTGCAACTAGACAGCGGGCGATGCCATCACTGTCACAAGTGCACTGCTCACATTCTGATGGCTGGGAAACAGCACACACATGTACACACGAAGGTATGAGACTCAACGTGGATCAGATTTCTAACCAGCACCTCTCACCAAGACCTCCTCATGTCATCTCAAAAGGGGGCGCCATTTACCTCCAATTCCCTGCTGTATACTCAAGTTACATATCTACATACCATACTGTAATTCATTGGTTCAGCGTTGTGGAAGATTTACATTCCAGGTCTACTGCACATTATCTAAAGCTCACCTTTCTGGAGAAAAACCATGATGCTAAGTCCTCTGTGTATGAAGTATTGAACATGGTTATAGTGTCCATGGCGTTCTTCTTAATAGTTTGTGGCATTCCTTAAACATTTCTGTTGGACATGCAAATACAGTCTATACAAATATACTGTAGTTTAGAGCTTTGCAGTGACATTTAAACATCAAACATTATGATTGGCATTAAAGCCTTCACAAATGCAGCAGTTTTGACATAGTGCAGAGAGACAATTTTGGACTTAATTTGTAGGACCTTTTTATTAAGAATTATTATTCTATTTCTGTACTCTACCCTTAAAAAACAAAATAAGCTCACCTTTGATGAAAGTTGTGAGCCAACACAAATGATAGAGAAGCTAAACTATATTCTATATCAGGAGTTTTTGGTTTGTGACCCCTTAAAATGAAACAATGGGTTAGGGCCTACTTTTGACCCCCTAATCTCAGGTTATGGCTTTAGTGTGGCCATAAGCTGTGAACAGTTCAAGAAAGAGATACTCCAGGTGGTAAAATCTATCCAGTATTTCCCATGTAAATGGAAAAAGTGTGTAGAAATGTCAGAAACAAACTGATGGACTCCCCTTTGTCTTGGGGCCTGACCACCATTCTAGCAACCACTGCTATACTGTGATATATAGTAGGCCTATACTGCGGTGTCTATATTCTGATTCCAAATCAGAAAAGGAAAATAGCCTAAGAATCTCAAAACACATGAGGCCCTTTAATAACAAGATATAGGGCAATTCAATCTCCATCCATACAAGCCTGTTCATCCCCACCATTTTTGCAAGTTACCATGTGTCATCGCTATCAGGCCTACCTGGAAGTTCTGCTCCAGTTCGTACACCACTCCGCGGTACTCACACCCGATCTTCTCGCATCTGGGGCAGCAGTCGGTGGGGTAGTGGCTGACATGGATGCACGCAGCCGGGAGAGAGGTGCACTCAGTGCGGGAGCATGCGGAGCCCTCGGCGGTGCATTCGCACTGTGTGCAGTGATCAGAGTCCAGAAAATACCATTCCCCCACGAAGTAAATGCTGCCGTTTGCCTCGCAGGTGCTTTCCTGCTGCCCGGCGACTGAGAAGCCAAAACCGGCCTGTGCGCAAAGTAGCAGTGCCAAAACGGCCGTGCGTATTCTGCACTTTCCGAAAACCATGATGATTTGACTTGATTCACCTTGTCCAAAACAAAAAAGTTAACAAGCACGTCAGTAAATTGAAATAGTCCAATTGGGATTTGGTAGACAGGTTATCCACGTTTACAAAAATGTTTAGTATGTTACATTGTAAGTGAACGCAAAACTCCTTGGCGTTACTCGGTCCTCCTTCCACAGCGGGGGCTGCGTGTAGGCTACTCCAGCAAAAAGCCCGGAAGGGGGTGGAGGTTGGGGGCATAAAGAGGGAAAGTTATATTTACTGCCTCACACGTCATGCAGTCTCTGCTGAAGTCTGTAGTCTACCTCCCCCAATTTAACATATTTGCATTAGTCCAGATTTGAGCACAGGTGGTCTCATTGTTGGTACTTAAGTCTACATTTTAAGCATTTTAGCCTAATTGGTTCCATTGCGTTACATATTTGGCTTAATTTTAATAAATCATAAACGTGAACTCTGTATCAATGGGATAAATATTCCATTTCTAGATCAACTTACCGTGACAGTTCGATCGATCTCGCGATATCTCCCCTTAGCAACGGTAATGTTTGCCTTGGATACCACATCCTTGTTAGATACAAACAAGGAACCACTTAAGGTGAGCGTTTGTTTCACTGTAGCAACACAGTAAATGCACTTTTATAAACGTTAGCTGTGTTTTAACACGGGCAGTTTTATCGTTTAACCAAATCAGTGTTTGAAATATGCTCTGTGAACACTTCACTTTTGTGAAATGATGGATTTCCGCAGGTGGTCAGGTAACTTAGCAAGCTAACGTTAGCTGGGCTACAATAAGTAGGCTCACTCTATTTCAGACACGTCTGCTTCAACACATGCAAAAACAAGCTTGATTGCTCCCCTTGTATCTGCTGGGAGGGTTTTAAAAGTCAAAACAAGTTTGAATGCATTTTATTTTCATTTATTTTATTTGCGCAAGAGCAAAAAGCAAAACAAAATGACGAGAGGATGGCATACTGCTTGGTAAACAAGAAACAAATGAAACAGACTGGAAACTGAAACAGAGGACCAACATTTTTTTAAAAGACACCCAGTTTGCCTGTAACTTTTGGTTTGTCTGATTGCAGCAATAAAACTGACTTACACATAGACACCTTACATAATACTTTGACTGTATGAATGTAAACATAATGAATTTCAGAGAGAGGTATCTGACAAACAAAATATGATACTCATCTCCCAGATGGTTATCATTACAAAGGTTGCAAATCCTCTGGTTTCTATCCAGTCCTTTATAACGTTAGATGACCTTGGGGATTCTAGTATTATTTACCCTGAAATTACAAATAGCCTGTCTATACTTTTGGTTGTCATGCAGCAGATATTTTTCCACTTTGAACACATGTTTAAATTCTACATACGTATCACATGATGTCATACTTCTCAGCTCACTTTGCCACTTTTGCATTAAACTGGTGTTTCAGTATGTTTTCGACAGTTAGTTTCAACCAGTTAATGTTGTTTACTTTTGGTTAAGTCCAAAGGTAAGACAAACCACATACAACAGTGTAAAAACAAGTAAAAGTCTGCATTGTTAGTATGGGAGTATTTTTAGCTAAAAGTACTTTACGTATCAAAAAAGTACTCATTTTGTTATTGGGTTTGTTTTTAATGTTACTAATGCATTAATGTGTGATTTTATTTTACTGTTTTAGCTGGTCAGGGTGGAGCTGTTTTGACTGTTTTGAGTCCCAAATCCAGATTCTCAATTGTGAGGATTCTGTTTTGGACTGTTAATTTAATTAAGCAAGCAGTCTAAATACATCACCTTGGGCTGTGGGAAATTATTACAGGCATTTGTTACTAATGTTCTAACATTTAATAGAAATTAACTCCAGGGTATTGGGGTACCTCAACCTGTCAAATAGATGTAGTCGAGTAAAAAGTACAGTATAAAGTGAACTGTCATACTGGTGTATATTGTTATTTTTCTGCACTTTCTTTCCATTCCTTCACCCCTAGATTGCCATTCACATGCAGTCTCCTGATGGAAACCAGCTCTGGAGCCCTGGCCAGTCTCTGTGGAACCTGATTGCTGAGCATGTTCACAGGTCAGAGCTGCCAAAGATCCGTACAGCACTGGGTCCCTCCCTGGTTGACATGTACACAGAGGTGCACTCAGAGGTAAAAGGGATTTTATGACTGCAATATTTGATTGATAGATAGATAGATAGATAGATACTTTATTTATTCCGAGGGAAATTCAAGAATATATGATATATGTTCTATCAAAATATTTCTGCATACTTTAGCTGGAGTTTCTCTTCCGATTCAGCCGGTAAAGCTTCATCATGTTTTCTGACACTTACTGTTTTATTTGTTCAAAGAATTCAGACACTGGGCCTGTTTCTGGTAAGATCTCACAATAATACCACCACACCATCTACAAGAATTTCCTTTTGAGCTTGGTTTCATTATAATTCAAAAAATTTGCTTAGCTATGCATCCCTGGCCAAACAATTTATCAACTGTGGTGTGAACGTACGTAGGTTATTTGGGCTGCATACACTCATTAATTACAATGCCCAGACTCTAATAAAAGTGAAATGTGGGTGGCACAACGCTACAGTGAAATCCAAATGTGAGCCAGACAGACATCAATATTTACTCAACTCCAGCTAAACTCTCGGCCCCAAAGCCTGTGCATGGAAACCACTCAGCAATGGAAAAATAACCACACCCCAGAAAGAGTTGCAGGTGAGAAACAACCCCAGCTTAAGGTGGAGTATTAAAGTGTTAATTTTAATTTTAAGAGAAAAATATTTTGAGAAAACTCCTTAAGTGTGGTCACAAATCACGGATAAAGTCAAAGAGGGATTTAGAAATATAATTAAAAGAAATAGGACTTCAGTAATTGCTGTAGCTTGCATAGTTTGATATGATACTGACATGGAGCCTGTCCTGACGGTGTTACAGTGAATATAGGGCTGCAGCTCATGATTATTTTAACTTTTTTTTCACTTAATTGAGGAATCTTTTCATCTAGAAAATGTAAAGAAATTGTGAAAAAGGTTCATCTCAAGTTCCAAGAGCCCAAAGCCACATCATTGAATGTCATGTTTTGTACTAACAACAAACCAAAATCTGAACAAATTCATAGTAACATAAAACATAGAAAAGCAGATAAAAACAACTTCAAATACTAAACGATTGCAAAATAATACAATATTAGTGGGTTGATGTTTTTGTCAATTAACTGATTGATTAGTCAACTAATCATTGTCAACTGTCAATGAAACCCAAAACATTACGGTGCTTTAAAAAAAGGCTCATTGTTTGACCTTAAAGATAAATGTGAAGAAATACGGCCAAGTCTGCTGAGAGAACATTCCTTTCAAGCTGAATTAAATAAAGAGAGGTCTTGTCATGTGAACTGAAGACCAAGTCTGTAGCTGTAGATTTCAAACACACACAAAGAATTCCTCTTATCAGCACTTTCTGTAGGATATAAATGTCTCTGCATTAGCTTTTTTCTTTCTCATGCAGTATAATTTTCAGCTTTTCTACTCTTGTATCTTCTGCCATCTTCTCCCTTTTTCCTGTCATCGTTCAGTTTTGATCAGCCTGCAGTGAGCAGACAGGCCCGATCGCTGAAAAACACATGGGCATAGTCTGTCTGGCTGACCACATATTGTTTTTGTGACATTTAACATGTAAAACATGCATGAATCACTTCACGATTAAATAAGTAAATGTCTTTTTACAGGATTTAAGAGCACCATTCAAAGAAGCATTAAGCCTCAAGTCAAACCACAGTGATGTAGAGTAATTCAACTCATATACAGACACACTGCGATCTACACACACACACACACACACGCACACACACACACACATCTATACGCAGAAAGAGGCCCAGGAAGCTTACTGAGTCAGGGGGTTGGTATAACAGGGTTAAAGAGGCTAATCCTGTTGATAAGACCCTTAGCAACACATATTCTTTGACTTGATTGTCTGTGTAGAGAAAAGAGATGTGTGCGTGTGTGCACATGTGCACTGTGTGTGTGACTTTTTCGAATTGCTCCGCAGCCTGTTGCGGCAGCTGTGGGTAAGTTCAAACTTCAAGCCTAGTTATAATGTAAATTATTCCTACGTTGTGATTTATGCACTGCTAAACTAAAAGCGCCTGCACCACAGGGATGAGTCACAACAACTAAATGGTTACACATGCCCCAGGGTAGGTGGAACTCATAAGATGTCACAGAATTATACTCAGTAACAGTAAATAAGCTATTTTTTCTGCCCCACAGCATAGTTTTTTCATTAACTTCATGTCATTTAGCACCACAGTAATCCAGAATAGACCTGATTTATTGATATGATATTTCCATATCGATCTAGCTCACTGCGATGCCAAGTGGCTCATGCCAAGCAGAAAACTAATGCGCACACATGACGATGGAACTCATCTTTGATTGTTGACTGGCCACTTGCCTTAGTTATGACTTTACCCTTAACTAGATACATTCTGCCCCAAGTTATCATGGTGCAACCAATTTTAGTAGCTGATTTAGTTACAAACCAACTAGTAGTTACTAAGTTTCTAGTGTTGACTTTACACCCTTAGGAGAGAACTTACACACAGCTGGTGCAACCCAGTCCTGTTATTTTTTCACCTACAGTTCGATGAATGCAGCAGCTGGCCGCGTAAAGCCCTAAGACGGAAAGAACGACTTAGTTAGGCTGAGAGCTTTAAGAAAAACAAAACAAAGCACAGAGCACCTTATTCAGCTCTCAGACTAGTGCATGCAGGTTTCTTCAGTTATAACATTTACTGCAGACTGGATCACTTCCTTTTTTTCTTGTATCTCCATGTCTTTCTCCCTCTGGGTTTTCTCTCCTCTGTCTGTTTCTCTTGCAGCCATGTAATGAATTCCACCCCTTAGTGAGCAGCTGGGAAAAGTAATAGTTGATTCTTCATTCCTCAATACCACCACTCCTCCCTCCATCAAGGTCTTCTTTGTCTTTGGGGGTTAGATCAGAAGGAAAATGCGCCTCTCTTTTCAAATCTCGCTACAAGGCCAATCTCTCTGTACCTCCCTCTATGCTGTCACTTTTTCACTCTAGTCTGAATGGAAACGAGCCCTCCAAGTTAAATGTATTCTAAAACCTCATTTAAATAATTCCCCTTAATAGCTCCTAGTAGGTTTTTTAACTGACAGGTTTCAGCAGCACTCCCTTAAAATAGCTGCTGGATGAGATCAACAGTCTCAGAGCGCAGAGGGAGGGGGGGAAATATCCAGGAACAACTTGTTAGCCAGTGAGCAATGAATCCTGTAACATAAACGCCTCAACACCGAAAGACAGACAGAGGAAGCCAGCATGAATGAAAAGGGTTTTGTGTGTATGTGTGTGCACAACATACTGTGTGAATGCTGGTATGTGAGTGGACGCGAGCACACATCGAAACACATGCAGAGAGCAGAAGTGGTGTGTTTTCGTATACTCCCACGTTTTCCTTTGAAGTGAGGTCTTTGACTGCAACATGACAGAAATGATTGGCAGGCAACAGGTGTGGAGGTGCTAATGGTATCCAGACTTCACTGAAACACATTCACACACAAATTTTCACATCTTCTCTTTTTTTAACCCACATTGATGGTTTTTACCCCTACTGTTTTTCTTTTGTGCTGTCACATTATGGTTAAATAGTGCTGAGTTTTCAGCACAGAAAACAAGCTGCTGAGTGTAAAAGCACACCTAAGGTCCTGGGTGCTCAGCCCTTCTACCGGATCACTGAGGAAGTCACGCATAAAGACTGACCTATTTCACTTTTTTTTCTTTACAAATCCTTGATCTGCAGTGATAATCTTTACAAATACTAAAAAGCTGCCTGGTGCTGCAGCAGGCTGCACTGTTTTTCTTGTGACATGGCCAACCTAAAATTCATCATACTCAGTCTGTGCTACATGTAGCGACGTGTTCTTCAGTTGCAGACATAATATAGTGTGAAAGCTTGTTAACATGGTGTGATATAGTCAGGGTTGGGGAGTAACGGATTACATGTAATGGCGTCACGTAATCAGGATACAAAAAAAGTAACTATATTCACTCACAGTACAGAAAAAAATAGACGTGATCAGATTACGGGTACATTTTTTTAAATTGTTGATTACTTATGGGGAATACTTAAAGTAGAAAGTTTTCATGAAACAGAAAATGCCGTGCTATTTGCCTCTATATATGTTTTTTTTTTATATACATATACACTCTATGGTATATGTACGTGTTCCTGTAAAAACACAAAGCTGGGGAGGCACATGTCACAGACATTGATTGCCGTTTACAGTCGCCAGTAGCACCAAATGTGTGCTTGAGTAAAGGTGTAACAAACACTCCCTCGGTGCTCTGAGCTCCCAGTATGGGCAGAGTGAGCTAATCTGACCAGTGGTTGCACAGCTAACTGAGCCAATAACAGCAAGCTAGTTAGCTGTTACCTAAATTCAGCAACACGTAAAGCTATCTGTCCATCAGAAAACTCTGTGAATCACAGAGTTGAGGCAGAGCAGCTGGGGGACATCAGAGAGAAAACTAGAATATATTTTATCCATATTTCCAATATTTATCCATCAAATATGATCCAGTTTCACTAAAATAAGTGAAAAAAAAATGTGTTTTTGTACAGTAATCAGTGGGGCCCAGTCCCAGAAAAACTATGCTTCAGCAGCATTATATTGAGAAATCTTTTCATTAAGTGCAGAATGCATCATCATGTTAAAATGCTTTCCCAAATGACAAACTGTAAAATATCATACAAAACACATACTGCTTTAGTGTTCACATAGTGCAAAGCATATCATATAAAAACATTCAAACATGGATTTTGATTTCATGGGAATTGAAGATTTTGTATATTTCTCTAAAAATACACTGAGCAGACAATGCTTCATTTTCCTCTTTGGCATTGAAGTAATCCAAAAGTAACTAAAAGTAATCAGGTTACATTACTTTTATTTTGTGGTACTTGGATTACGTTACTGATTAAATTTTTTAACAAATAATTAGTAATTGTACCGTATTACATTTTTGAAGTAATCCTCCCAACTCTGGACATAGTGAAAGCAAGATATTGGTTAACAACGATGTGACCATGTGAATGAGACATACTGTATGTAAAACTTACTGTTTTTGGATTTAGAAATTCACCAAAATGGTATTTTGAAAATGATATATTTATTTTGATTATTGAAAGAAAGTTTCACCCAGATTCTGTGTCTCTGTGTATCCAAGAATTGTATTGCTTCCTGTTCCAAGAAGACAATGTTCAATGTTTACAGCAGTTTACAGTAAACAAGGTCTTCTTGTGCCGAGCACAGCCATGACAGTGTTTTCAATAATAGAAAGAAAAACGGATCGCAGCATAGTCCCTGAAAGCAAACGGAAAACAAAAGCAGTTTAATGCTAGTGTTTTAATTGCAAGTTGGTGGTATTCTTACACTTTCACTCAGATTTTTACATGAGCAATATTTTCATCTCACATTTTCACAATTTTTATTAGTTTAAATAGACACAAATTTGTAAAAATGTCTTTAGTCCAGGAAACCTTTACAGTACTTTTGGCAACAATGCCTCTTAACCCCGTAAGTACAAATAGTGTCGCATTCAGTTTGTGCCACATTAAAGAGGAATCCACACTTACAGTATAATTGGTTTTTCACAGATTACAGTCATATTCTCATTCACTGAGACTCAAAAGAAATGACATAATCCTCCATTGCCTTCCCTGAGATACTCCAGCTGTTGTCAGAGGTGTCACTGCATGACAGATGTCTGGATCACTGGTTATTGCAAGCAGACTGTCCACTCTGCTTTAAAAGAGTGCTTCACTAAATCATATTGCGTTCATAAGCTGTCAGCTGTGAATATGTCACCTGGACTGACAGAGAAAGTCTGTAAAGCTGTAAATATCCTGTTACTATGATATATTATTGCATGTAGAAATCTCTAACGTGTTGTCTTCACTAACCATAATAATAATAATATTTGCAGGCGGAGATGTGGCACAAGATGTGTCAGGAGAGCCAGCGAGGAAACAATAGCAGCAGGGCAGGGACCCCACTCCCACGTCAGCAGGGGTCCCCTCTAGCTGACCCCCCTGCAGTCAAAGAGATGGTGAGAGCCGAGGTCAAGATGTTACTGCAGACTCTCAGAGAGAGAGCCAGCAGGGGAGGACGGTAAGTGCAAGAGCTCACACACAAAAATCCACTCTACTGTACATTATTAGTGAATTATTGAAACGGATTGCCCTAAACATAATCTGTCTGCATTAATGTTTTATATTTTTATTAATTTACCTGTAAAGTATGAGGGAACTATTTAAGACACTGCACTAGTAATGCCAGTGATAGTAATGTGATTTTGATACAAATATGAAGAAACACAACACAAAGTATGTATTTTTTGTAATTATACTGTCAAATGGGAATATATGAGCACAGTGAAAATAAAATCAAATATTATTTCCATACCCATAATACCTAATTGAAAAAAATATATAGTCTATTGACGAAATATCTATAATATCTATAAATAGATATTCACAAACATTACAACCATTTTCCATGTGTCATAGAAACACACTTCTACACTACAGCTGCCCAACTCTAATATACGTATGCAGGACAATGTGAGGTTAAATTAGTTAACATGGTGAAAAAGTCATTTTGCATACTATCAGAAAAAAGTATACAAACACTACAATCCACCCCTGATGATTGACAAGGAATGTTGTTTAATTACAGTGGTAGTCATCTCAGAGGTACACCACGTAGCTTGAGCTGACTGTGTCTATCCCGTTTTACCCCACTCCAGATTACACTCCTTAAAAAATGTTATATTGTCACATGCAATTTGTCAGTCTGTTATTAGTTATACTTAATGACAATTGACAAGTTAGCACAAAGTCCTTTAAGGAAATTTACTTTTGTCTGAATTAGGATTCAGACATGGATTTGCATGATTAATCTCTCTAATATTCAATAAATGCAATTTCTCTCGATCTAATTTATTAGTGTTTTAGTTTTTGTGTTTTGCTAAACCAAGCACAACATGCTGGCCTTTTCACAAGCCAAGAGATAGTATGTACAAGAAGGTTAAGACCTTGCTCTCACACTCCCCGCGTCATTTTTCCCCTGACAAAGAGAGCCATAAAATGCTATATTGTGTTCCCACGTCAGTTACAAATGGGATGGACAGCAGAGGAACAATTGGCGTAGGGATGTTGCAAACTGGTTTGGGAATTGTGGAACAATGGGACAATGATAGGCGGGAGACTTCCATGCATTCCACACCAAATGCCAACAAACACCAACTTAGATTTTAAAGGCCTGCTAGGTCAACAACGACAACAAAGTGTTTTTATCATAAATGTCCATTTAAATACTCATCTTGTTGTTAGTGAAGTGCTCACAGGGAGATTGCAATGATGCTTGGTACTCTGTTTCTGTTTTATGAAGCACAGTCATGTGAGAGTTATAATCTCCTCAAGAAGAGGTAATTAAACTTTCTAATTGTTGTTTAGTTTTTAATTTTTATGGCTAATCTTATAACTCAGGTCAGAGATGAGCTTGTAGCGATTGGAAATTTACTGACTACTGTCAGTTTAAAGAATGTCATAAAAAGTGTTGCTGCCTACATTCTTACATTATAATTTTACAGCCTAACTTATGTATCAAAATGTGTTTGTGAGGATGTGTAAGTGTGTGTGAGAGTTCGTATGTAACGTGGTAACTATCCCAGCAACTAGCTCGCTGCTGCTAGGAATGTTGCCCCATGTCACCTCTCAGGTTTCTCTGAGGCCTTTTAGGAAAAACACAATATAAGATGGATTGTTGTGCGTTTTTGTGACAAACCGTTTATTTATTGCCTGTCAATGTGTCGACATCCTTTTTATTGTGCTTTATTTGTTTTCTGTGGCCATTGTGTTGTTAAACTAGAAGCTGCAGGCAACTCTTTAGTGGTTTAGGTGTTTTTTTGTGTATGTGTGTGCTTATTTTGTAAATGCCGTTATCACTAGTCCTCTGTTTGGAACCACTTGTCGAACAGATTTGAGCCATGTTGACTATTCTGTAGAATGAACATTCACATACACATTATTTTTGTCCAAAATGACTAAACCTTTGTGAGGCTGTACTATGACTTTGAGCTAGATACTAATGTCATCATGCGTTAACGATGATTTGGTCATAAACCAAAGTATTTTGACCTCATGATGCCGCCAGAGAAAAAGTCAGAAGATCATCAAAGTTATTACAATCCAGCATGAGGAAAACATTCTAAATTTTGTGACCATCCATGCAATAGTTGTTGAGTGGTGGACCAACATTGCCATCCCTAGAGCCACATTGCTAGTATAGCTAATATCGGTCATCCCCACTGGCAGTGGGCAGTTGCAGCATTGTTGAGTGTTTTTACTTCCACAGAGTAGTCCCCCCAGCAGACTATAAGATGGTTCATGCGATTATTTTGAAGTAATCTTTCAGGGGTTTATTTTAAGTCAGGATGACTGCGAGGCCTGATGTTTAGTCCAATATCCAGAAGGCCACAGGTCGGATATCCACAACAGCACTGTGTCTTATTAAAGTGTCACTGAGCAAGGCACGACCTGAAGCCTCACTTGCTCGCACATCACAAGCCACTCGTAAAGTGCTTTGGCTGGGATGTATATGATTTAGAAAAAGTCCCATTCAGAGGGAGAAACATAGCCCACTTATTGGCTTCGTAGGAACACGACCAGCACAAATCGCCTTTTCTCTTTGAAGTTGGCTTCGGTATACTTGTTGACCTTGATGCATGGTACTGTGTGTGTGTGTGTGTGTGTGTGTGTGTGTGTGTGTGTGTGTGTGTGTGTGTGTGTGTGTGTGTGTGTGTGTGTGTGTGTGTGTGTGTGCATTTTAAGCCTTTGATCATTAAATTAGGGCAAGTCCCAAGTGTATATCAGCTGAATAGCTTGAACACTCTTCCCTGTAATAACACTTCCACTTAATAATGCTCCACAGCCCTCTGTTTGTCGATTTATTTAAATTTTATGTTCTTTGTTAGCATGGAAATTGAGAAGATATTGCCAATGCATCAAGATAGACACCAGCATCCTTGCCTTTCTCATACTCTCAGGCCGGAAATTATTTTTGTGTGTATGTGTGAAACCTTAATTTACCAGACATGCTAGCCAAGAACACTTTCCTTTTTTGGTAGCAAAGGCCTAACTAACTGATTTGCTTAAATCCACCTCAACAGGAGGGGGGTAAAAACAGCTAAAAATAGCTGTGAACTGAACCATTTGATTGAGGGTGTGTACCTTGAAATGATGTATTTTATTGGCCTCCTGTGTGGTCCTGATTCCCTAGGCATCAACCCAGCCACACACACACACACACACACCCCATTGTCTCAGTGGCTAGAAAAGACTAAATTTTCCACATCTAGAGACTATAAGATTAAGCAGAACTGACCAGGTCATCACCCCGCCTACACCATCTGCTTGATTCTTTTTCTCCCAGGGATCATTCAGAAAATATAATGTCGCTGCTGCTTATCTTTTCATTACTGAGATCTCTTTCTTTTTTTTGTAAGATAACCACTGTAGATATGGTAAAATGAGCCCGGCTCAGATATAGATTTCTATGCACATGCTGCAATGCCTCTATGGAACTGAAAGCATCACAGACAAGAATGTGACTTCTGTTCAGGCAGTAATTCAGTCAAACATTATTTGTATTGCCCTTTTCATACAGGTTAGTGCAATTGCAACAAAAGTACAAATACAACCATCATATAAACATAGAAAGATACAGTAAACTAACTTGTATGAAGAGTATTTCTTTGTTTGTGCTTGTTGTTGCTGTAGAGATGATGATGAGCTCTTGTTTTGGTACAAACCTGAGACGGTGGACTACGCCCTAGGCCACCTTGACAGCTGTTACAGAAACTGTACCAACTATAAAGATATTCATAATGGAAGGTAAGTAAAAATGTTTAAACATATCTTTAATATTTTACTAAAAATATAAAAAATCCCTTTTAATCTTCTTTGTTTTCTCTTTTCTCTCCTTCAGACCAAGCTCTCACTGTTCTGTCCAGTCCAACGCTGAGGATGAGATTGAGTCAATGAGCGACAAATTGAATGTCGCTGACATTGACCAAGTGGTGGATCGTCTCAAGTAAGATGCATAGAGCAGTGTTTCCCAACCTTTTTGTCTTGTGACTATAGCCCGACCAATACCGGATTTTGGAGGCCAATACTCATATCGATGTTTGGGAGTTAAAAAAATCTGATAACAACATATCGAGTGACTAATTTTTGTGAAGGATAAACACTTAAAGGTTCAGTGTGTAAGTTTTAGTTTTAGTGGTGAGGGTTGTGAATTGTAACCACGGCTCACGGTGCATTCACCTCCCCCTCGGATGGTTTCCCGATTTGTGAAATCATTCTTCCGACTTCAGTGTGTGTTCATGTGGTCTTAAATCGGAATTAGGAATCAACATGGATGCTACTACAAAAATGTGTTGGATTAGCATTATCAGAGCATAAAAACAGCTCATAGACATCTAGTTCGCTCCACATGGACACCAAACTAGCCATTATTACCACATTACAAATTACATGTTTGCAAAATATGGATGTGAAATACATGATTTTGCACTAATTAAAGTTCTGTATACTTCTTGATGTCCCTTGTACAGTTTGTTTCTCTTTTTGCAATAAAGATTTGAGGAAAAAAAGATTGTGATTATTCCGACACCACATGAATGCACCATCAGTCAACGCTCACCCATCCCTTTCCAAGCGCGGAGGAGAATCTGCAGTGGCCGACACAATGTCTGCTCTTGCATGTGTGGCCCTCCATTTGTCCAAATTTCTCTTCTTTGCTTATTTCTAATAAACCAGTCGACTACTACTACTACTATTAACATTACTTGTAGTGTGGTGACGAAATGCGCTCTGTAGAGCCTTATGTCCATTTAGGCTACTCTAGAAACATGGCGGCGCAACATGTTTCATGTTTTATACACTACTGAAAATATAGTTGTGAATAAAAATCCTCCTAAATATTACACACTAAACCTTTAACAAACACCAATAGGGACACAGTTTTTGTATTTTTAAAGAATTTTGACCAAGTTACATGCAAAACGATGTAATGGAGACACTGTTTCTAAATTAGCTCAAACAGTGTTTTATTTCTGTACAGTACTGCAATTTATAATCCAATATTTAATGAGAGAAATGCAAAAAAAGATCTACAGGATATAGAGTGTATACAGACTGAGTAAATAACATATGTCATAACACAACACAATACACAGTACAATACAAAAAACATGTCTTGTCAGGACTATCTTGGGTTTGTAATGCTAACTAGCAGAGACACATCATGCATGTTTTGTGTGTGTATTTTTTCTTTGTGGTATAGATTTGTTTCTTGTAAATGACATAATTCATACAGTATGTTCTCTGTAAATCTGTGAGTGAATTCCTCAGAGTCCTCTCCTTTCTCTCAGTTTTTCCCTTGATTTCCCTCAACTCTCCTCTGTGGCGTCTGTTGCTCCCCTGCCTCCTTCACACTCCCACAGGGCAACACTGTCACTGAGGCTACCTCTCTCTCTCCCTCTCTCTCTTTCTCTTGCTCTCTTACTCTGTCTCCAATTTCCTGACTCGATCAGAACAAAAGGCCCCATTGTCAGAAAATGATCCCAGAGCAGGCAGAAGTTTCTTTTTCGTTTGAAAGAAATCTACTATGGTTATGTAACCAGAGAAGGGGAAAGTGTGTGTGTGTGTGTGTGTTTGTGTGTGCGTGTGTTTGTGTGTGCGTGCATGCGTGCCTGTGTGTTTGATTGGGGGGAGAAAAATAGGACGCTGTATCCTTAGTACCCTCATGAAAACTGAAGAGGAGAAACTCTGAGCAGACACCAAGTATCTATTCTGTTGTCACTGCCTCAGCTGTGTGATTAGGTTTGCTTATTAATCTTCCATTGTGCATTTCCAACATTTTGATAAAGATACAGTGTTATATAGTGTATACTTCTCAAGGATTTAATCGCTGCACAAACCTATAACATTTTTTTAAATTTCACATGCTGCTGTTCGAACTGATCATATATACACCGATGTACTAAAATTAGGATATTCAATGCTAAATATGTGGTTTTATTTTACTGTATTTAAGAAAACAAACCACTGTTAAAGTAGAATCGGCATTTCTACTAAGGTGTCTCCCTGTGTGTATGTGATGCACAGTTTCCACTTTGACCTAGATCTAAGTTTTTTGCTCAATAGTTTTTCAGTGAAAAACAACTGATGATAAAGATAAAGGCTACTTTCTTTCTTTCTCCCTATCCATCTGTCTGTCTGTCTCTGTCTCTCCAGGTCTGTCCTTATGGAGGAATGTGAAGCATTGAACAGACTGGTAATGCATTTCAAGGTAAGAAGCACAGGATGGAAAACAGCCAACTACCAAATTAATCTTTAATCTTCTTTGTTTTTCAGCTGCCAGTGCAATAGTGATCCAAATCCTACAATTATTTATGGGAAACCAGGCCAAAACCAAAATATTGATTTGCTGTACTGATGCAGCTACGAAGGGATTTCAACATTCAGAATCTATTCAGTATAGCCTTGTAGGCAGCCTGAGTTATGAATCTATGCTGAACTTGCAAATCTGGGCAGTCTATTCATATTACGGTACTAGTACAACATGATTTTTCTTCAGGAATAATTTTATCTATTTAATCTCTTAAATTCTTTATTTACATAGAGAAAATAAATCCACATTGCACAATATTACATACTTGTTTTAGTGTTCATTGCAGCTGCACCATTACATCAAACATAAATCAATGTTACCCCCAAATCTGGCCGCACTTATTTGTTTATTTATGTTTACATGTTCTATGTTTTATTACATTTTCAGGATTTGAACAAAATGTCCCCAGACAACACGAGTTCCAGTTGTTTGATACAATTTGTACAATGATTTGTTTTTACATGACTATAAAATTGTTAAATTATGTATTCTACACAATGATGATTATTTTCATTAAAATCACATTACAAAACATTACTGACTTCCTCAACCAGGGGCATTCTTTTTCCCCCTAAACAAAACTTTTGAATCCCTCAGGTAGACCGGCCAACTCTCTACTGGCACTGAAAGCCTGCCACAGTTTCCATTTACACACACACACACACACACACACACACACACACACACACACACACACTCACGCACACACACAGGAAACGGCCAGGGCTCAGTCTAAGCTTGTTTTTTCCCCCCATCTGTCTAGCCAAGAGCTTTGCAGGGCTGCTGAGGAAGATCGATCTCTTTCCAATCACTCAAATGACTTAAAAAATATATACAGACACACACACACACACACACACACACACATACACACATACACATTAACAAAGAAACCTACAGTCTAGTTACACTGTCATGCTTGACTGGCAATATGAGAGGCCAGATGTGGGACTTTTCTACAGACCAGATGTGGAAGTTATCTCTCTGTAGCCTCTATGTGCACGTCTGCCTGGAAATGTTAGATTGGCAGTTTGTCTGGAAACGGGACAAGTTGATAAAAGGGAAAACTGTGTGTAAAGGAAAAAATGGCCTTAAAGTCTGTGTGTTTCAGATGTCTGTTAAGAGTCAAAAGTGAATATGGTGTGAGGCCATAGAGTATCATTTTGCCTGTTGCATGAAGACCTACTTATTCATATGTTGTTCTTGTAAGTAAAAAGAAAAATAGTAGTAGGGATATGAAGACCCCATTGCAAAGATAAACCAAACAGCACAGGTACTGTCTGGAAAACCTCAGGAGGCATTTTCACTATAGGAAAGAAAACAAGTAAAACTGGGTGTAGGAGAGGGAGGGAGGGACATTATTAGAGTAAAGTTTCCTAACCCAAGGTTGTGTTGTTCCACTCTTAAAGACCTGATGGTGTGAAGCTAATTGTAGGGAGACTTTTCTTGGTGGTCACGAGGCTTTTACTGTAGAGGCAGTTAATGTCTTTCTCAAAAGGATCCTGCGGTAAAGCAGATATGTGGCACTTTCCCTGTATAGACATTGTCTTCTCAAGCAAAGGGCTGCTGTCTGGTGCACGAGCAGGTGCGATGAAGCCACAGCTCAGGTGGCGCTGTGCTGCAATGGTGGATCATGTTGATGCTGCGCAGCGCAAGGCATCACTGCATCATAGGCTGTGATAACTCATCAGTCGTCGGAAGGGAGGACACTGTAATCAGCCCAGGACCTTTTGTGTGATTTATAGCTTGTCATAAATCTTTAGAACATCTAAATGTACAAATATGTTAATGATGCAGGAATATACTATAGCGGAGGCTTAATAGAAGCGGTAGTGAAATCTGTAGCCATGGTTTGCAGTTCTCACTTTTTTCTCACAACTGAACAAAGCTTCAGTGAGACATATACACTAGTTTAACTGTATATGCTGAAAAATATATTTACAGTAGTCTTTCAGTCAGTCACTAATCCACTTCTTCAAATTACCATCTTTCTTCTTCTTCTTCTTGTACATTATTTTGAGTATAGATAGTGTTAAGTGTCCTGCTTGAGGAGTGTCATGACTTTCCCATCACCATCATTTTTGCCGCAGCTGAGATTGCTATTGATTTAGTGTTATTCCATGCAGTTAAATTATGTCCTCTCTTTTTTTAATGGAGCCAAATCAGGCATATAGAGGGTTAGGTTGCCTTGTAGCAGACAGTCATAAATTGGTCCTAAACACAACTGTAATTAATCACCCATTTTCTCTTAGCAGGAGGGAGGCTCAGCAGCAGCCCAAGGTTAACTTCCACACACAGTCTCAGTTGTTCAAAGTATGTGTTGAATGACGGTGTATTGATTGTAGTATCCTATCAACCTCAAGCTGTGGAAAATATGGGGGGAATTCTTTCTCAAATATCCTGATCTCTAAAGTATAGGCTGCATTGTATCTGCAGCTTTACACATTAGTTCACTGTCAGGGGGCTACTGTGGCTCAGGAGGTAGAGCAGGTCGACCACTAATCCTCCAGTCTGCGTCTTGAAGTGGGCGAGATACTGAACCCTAAATTGCCGTTGGTGTGTGAGTGTGTGTAAATGATTAGTTTCTGATGAGAAGTTGGCACCTTGCATGGTATCTTCTGCCATCACTGTATCAATGTGCTTCGACATACATTGCTTTGAGTGGTCAGAAGACAGCATGTTGACCTTCCTCCCAAGTTAAGGTCATTTTGACTAACTTGTCCGTCACTGCTCTCCACAAGGCGTTTTATTATTTTTTTTAATTTCAGTGTTGATGTTCTTGCTTTTGGTTGTTCAGTGTAATTCCAGGGTTGTGATCGTGTTTGTCCAGAAGACTCTGCTCTGCTGACAAGTGTTATCTAATGTGTTGGGATGTATGTTCTGTAACTGAATGTGTGATGTCTTTCTGCCAATATCCCGATGCAATTCAGGGACTGGTTTACGTGAATATATCGAATATTTTGTTGAAATGGGTTGGTGCTCTATGTAAGTTTGTTAAAGTTGCTTTCAATACTAGTGCGGAGGATTTGGGTTTAGACCTTCAGTGCTTCCTGCGTGCTTTCATAGCCACTTCATTCTCAGCTGTAGACACTGTCTGTTAAGCACAGGTGGTAGCTTTTTATTACATTTTTTAAATTCATTTAGCTGACGTTTTATCCAAAGCGACTCACAATTGCTATATATGTCAGAAGTCGCATGCCTCTGGAGCAACTACGGGTTAAGTGTCTTGCTCAGGGACACATTGGTGTGTCACAGTGGATTCGAACCCCGGTCTCTCACACCAAAGGCATGTGTCTTACCCACTGCGACACCACCACCCCGGTTTCATCCCAGGTGATAATATTATCAGTCAGTGTAGGAGCATGAAAATATTTCTTGTACCGTGATGTTGGTGAGGAATATGTCACTGGTCAAAATTATAACTTGTTCACCATTAAACTAGCATCAATAGTCAGAGCATGACCTGCATGGTTCTGGAGTTGGAGATTCTGTGTATGTTGTCTGTTCAGAGGTGGATTTAGGTCCTAGAGATTTGTGTATAAGAATAATGACAGTAACATGCAAAAGCTTTCCTAAAATATCTGCATGTCAGCGCATGATAATGGGTTCAACCCCCACATGGACCACAAAGCCTATTTTCAGAGTGCATGTGTGCGCGCTTTCAAGTTGTTTTGGATTTTAAAGCACTTCACTTTCAGAGACGCGACACACATACTCCTTCTGCGGCTCTGGGAGGATTGGGTTTGAATCCCACTGGGAAAATAGACCAAAAATATATGTTTTAACTGTCACTCTCCTGGCCTGTGGGTGTGTTTGTGTGTGTGTGTGTGTGTGTGTGTGTGTGTGTGTGTGTGTCTTTGTGTCTTTGTGTAATGGACTATATAGTCTGTGGTTGCTACAAAGACTCTATTAGTGTTTCTGCTGTTGTAAAGTGAGGAGAGGAGGCTGCCAGTCACTCATAACAAACACATGAAGACACTTTTCAGTCAGGTCTTTGGTCTTTTGCAAGCTGTAGACACACACACACACACACACACACACACACACACACACACACACAGCATTATGGTTTTCATTTGCTCTGTATATTTGAGGCCAAATTATGATGGAGCACTGCTGCTCAAACGTTTAGTGGTCACAGACACACATTCCTTTCCTCTTTCTCCAGCTGTTATTTTTATCCATTTTCCTTGTACCTTTGCTATTTCCAAAGGCTCATGCTTTCATGAAAATGCATTTCCCTCTTATTTTTTCCACTTCCACCCCTGTAACTAGGCTGAATATTTCCATGTTGTTGCCTTAGTATTGTGTAAACAGTACTTAGATGTACACTCAAACTGCTCAGTCACTTTCTGTTCTGTGTTTTGTGTTCCTCACAGGGAAATATCAAACAAAAGTGTCAGAGACAATTTGAGAAATCCGAACCCTCGCTTGCAGGTGAGTCCCTTAATACCAACAGTTTGGTGTTTGCCGCCATCTGGTGGCACATTATTGTTTAACACATGGTGTGTGAGGAGAGGTCTCCTCTCTATCTCTTTTAGTGTCCCATTTAATCTTTAGCTCAGAGAATACATTTACAGATGAAATGGGACTGATGATAACTTCACCCACCCTCCGTTAGCTGGTAAAACCCATTCTGAAAATGAATTGAGGACTCTAGCCAAATTTATCTACTCGGGGCCAAATGACAGTGAAACTAATTTGAATACATTAGAGAGCAGTAAAACAGCAATGCACTGAGTGGTTGTTATCTTTTGATGGTTTTCTGTTCTCAAGTATCTAACAGTGTGTTTCAATCATACTTCAGAGTGATGGTTTTAGTTTTGTTTTTTGTTCCCCCAATTTTAATACTGTTGTGTTTGTATACGTGCAGAGTTGAGAGAGCTTAGAGGAGCTGTACAAATGGACTTGGAACTATACCCCTCTTCGTTTGCTGCTTCACCGCCAGCTTCTTCACCGCCAGCTTCTTCCCCTCTCCCTCTGAAGTGGCTGAAAAACAGGTTCAGGTACCTACGTTTTGTTGTTACGACCACCAGAAAGAACAAACAGAGTCTAAGAGTAGCAGAAAAAACTATTATTTGATTTGATTTTAAATAAACGTGACCCCATAATGAATACTAATAAAATGAAAAGGGAATGACGGGACTTTAAAGAATGGAAAGAATGGCCAACCACAAAAACTGTATCAGAGTGCACATAACACACATTAGAATTAGAAGAAATGCACATTATGAGGAGTAAGTGGGGTGCATAACACTCACACTGTGCAGTTGATACCTACAGTAGCGGCTTCACAATCACTGACGATTTGTGCCTTCTCATTCCATTCACGCTTTCTCACTGTACACACAATGTTTCTATTGATTTACAAAACTATTTTTACTCTATTTTTATTTTATGGTCTTCATGCAAGAAAATCTTCCTCGATCTGATTCCCTTTCTGATTCCTTTCCCCCAGACTGTCAGCAGGACAAAGGGTTTCTGATGAGACTCCGCAAGTTTTAAGCACTACATCAGTCCTAAGACCACATCCACCTCCTCCTCTGTGGCATACTAAACCCAGGCCACCACTTGGCGCTCCTCCCAGCAAGACCGCTTCATCAGCTAAACTAATTAACAGTTCTCCACTGCCTAGCACTTGTGGACAGCACAGAAGAACAACATCCTCCTCTGGACCTAGAAAAACACAAATGCCTACCGCCTCACTTCCAGGGCCCGGCAGTGACCAGATAATAGTTGAAACCACACACTGCTGCAGTCTTTCTCCAGAGCAAGATAGTGCATGTCTCCGCTGCATGACCCCGACTTCTAATACTGGTTTTCAAGCAAAAACTCCAAGAAATTCACCCCTCTATGAAACCCATCTATCATCCATTCGCAGCCCGAGCAGAAAGTGTGATTTGTCACCAAAGAGGGAGAGAAAAGGCTGCTCTGCCTGGAAGTCAAGAAACGTCAGTAGTATCCCTTCACCTGCTCTCAGCTCTCACTGTGATGCAGGCAGTTACAGCAACAATAATACTGACCATTCTGGGTCAACGACAGTGAAATCAAACACACAGAATAGTACCTGTGGAGGTAGTTTAGTGTCAACAACAGTGCAGACAGATAGCGACAGAAGGAAGAGTACTGAGAGTTACTGTGTTGGCAGTGGGGAAAGCAACATTGGAATTGATATTAATAAATCTTGGGAAGGATGTCGCCCAACAGCAAAGCCTAGTAGCCACTGTTTGACAGACCGCCTCTCACATCATCCAGAAAGCAGAGATATACAGGGGCAGGCCAAGTGCACCCATCCAGCGTCCATACGGATAAATGGGCAATTCTTTACTTTCCCCAAAAGACCACCTGAGGGCACCGCGAGTCAGCCAAAAAGTGCCAAAGAGGCCCAGCCGGAACTGGGCGTTTATAAACAACTTTTACCAGCTCCTCCTGCAAGGGTTTTGACTTGAAGTCAGCCAATAATTTCACTGCTGTGTCTGGTTCCTCACAGGGTTTTCCCCCCCATAAAGCATGAATTAAAATAAAATTGAGTTCTTGTGCTTGTAATTTTGCAATATCTTAATATTTGACTGAAAAGTGTGTAACCAAAAAGTAAATGTTTTAAAGTTACATATAGTCACCAGATTTTTATGTACTAATAAAAGTCATGAAGGTGTCCATCTAACCTAACAGGTTCACAAAACAGAAACATCAGGGAGATATCAATCATGCACAGTCTGTATACACCTACTACACACATACTTTATTTTCCTGGCCTTCTTTGTTTGTTTAAAGTCTGAGGTTCTATGATAAATGTTTTCTGATTTGAAAGCAACCAACAAACAGAAAAATATCCCAGAAGGAGCAGCGCTTAGGTTGTTTTAATATTACATTGGCTGTATTAAAGCTATACAAAACACTACTGGATCTTCTCTAATACACAGATATTTGTGTTGTGTTTAAAACACAAATGAGGGCCCAACTTGTCCTGAAAATAACTACATTTTTCCAGCAAAGACATGTAGTGACTCTGTCCTAATCCTGTTAATTCAATTCAATTCAATTCAAATTAGCTTTATTGGCATGAATGTGTAATAACAATATTGCCAAAGCATCATACATACAACATAAGAACAATCAGCCCCATACATTATAATAAATAAAACAGTAAGTGTGTGTGTTTGTGTGTTAAGAAACTATATATATTAAAATAAAATAAATAATTGAAACAGTAACGTGTGTGTATATATATATTAATGTTAATAAAGCAAATGAAAGCCAAGAATTTCAGCAACATTTATCCTGCTAAAACTTCCCTAGAGGACAATGTGGCCAAGCTCACCAACACATTTTCCAATATTTGATCTTGATGCTGCCTTTTCAGCACGTTTTTAGTAGTTTCGTTTTCTACAAGCCACACCCTCCACCTCAAATAGAAACTGATACTTAACAACAACGTCACATGACTTCTAACATGTCAAGGTAAGGTAGTTTACTTAAATGTCTCCTTTACATGTCAAGGTATGATTGTTTACTTCAGTTTGTACTTTCACTAATGGGTTAGATGTCACAACAGAATCTGTATTTTCTCCAAATGAGCCTATAATCTATTGAGTTTGAGGTGCTGATGTTGTAACACGCCGTTATGTCTGGATACTGTTCCTTCAGGCTCTAACAGGGACAACACTGAAACTAGAATAAGAAATATGTCGTAATTTTTTTATCTTAATTAGCCAACTGTTCGATTTCTTACTCCCATACACAACAAGTTTGTTTGCTGTGTACGCAAGCGCAGTGAATTTTCCTGCCTTTTTAACTGCGTTGTGTTTACAAACTTTTCGCAGCAGATTGGGTAACACCTAAGACACGCCCACCAAACGGGAGAAAAAATACCTGGAAGCCCTTTTCATAAACAGTTTATGCTTGAAGCCCCTTGCAGAGAAACAGTTTCCATAATTTTCTAAAAATCTATACAGATGGATCTAAAAACAAACAGGAATGTGTGGGAATTGGAATACATACATCAAAATAAATATCTCAAAACGATTATCAGATAGGCTATCCATATATACAGCAGAAATAGTGGCAGCCATTATAGCATTACAGTGGGTTGAAGAGGTCAGACCTGATAGGGTGATATTATGCACAGACTCCTTAGCAGTTATTAAAAGCATTCAGTCAATGACATCTGTCAGAGAAGACCTATTGATAGAAATGTTTCACAGCTTGTTAAGATTACATCGGGGAGGGATAGATGATCAGTTTTGCTGGGTGCCAGCTCATGAGGGAGTAAATGGAAATGAGATTGCAGACAAACTAGCAAAAGAGGCATTACAAAAGGAAATAACAGTTCAAATACCGCTAGGAAAAGGAGAAGGAAAAATAGCCATTAAGAAGAAAGGTAATGAAATATGGCAGAAATGGTGGGAGGAAGACAGGAAAGGAAGGGGTTACTATAAAATACAAAAGTCTGTCAGTAATAAAAATTATAGCGAAAGCAACAGGCGGGAGGAAATTATTATGACAAGACTAAGAGTAGATCTCACAGGACTGAATGGCACCTTGTTTTTATTGGGGAAAAGGAATAGTGAAAAGTGTGAAAACTGTGGGGTTAAAGAAAATGTTGATCATATCATTTTGCACTGCATATTGTTTGAGTTGGAAAGACAGATATTTCAAGATAGGGTTCAGGAAGCAGGGCGGGAATGGAATCTGAAGGGGGTAGTGGAAACAGAAGGAGAAGAAAAGGGTTTAAGAATCACCAGGAAGGCATTATTATTTAAATTTCTTAAAGACACTGGGTGGGTGAACAGAATATGAGAGCACCTTATTGAGGTTGATAGCTGAGTGATATGATGCTACACACTCCAGTACAGTAGGTGGCGGTATGCACCATGCCCCATGGTGTTGCGACCAACAGGTGCATGCTGGGTCCGGCTAATTGTAAAGTCTGGTTAATCTACAATCTATGGGTTAAATGCTGAAATGCTGGTGGTGGAGACTTCAGGTGACTTCTGCGTACACTGAGAAACTTATACCGTTAGTAAGGTGAGGCGTTTCTGCTGTTTGAGTGCTTAAAACACTTAAGAGGAGCTCCGTGTGATTAATTTAGATTAATTTAGAGAGTTTGAGATTGACAGGTTAGCCTATACTTTGAGGCTGAATGAATAGACAAGTTGAAGCTAAAATTGTGAAGGACTTCGAGGACAGTATGATTTAATGCACACATTCATGTTCCCTGTATGGTTCCTTTACATTATTATTTTGTTAAAAATTTAATTTTAAATTTAAAAATTTAACTTAATTTGGCTAGGTTTAATTATTCATAAAAAAAACATTACCTGGCTCTTTTAGATATAATTTCTAGATTTAGTTTTGTATAGGAGGGCTATTTTGCTACGTCGTATGCACTGCTCATTCAGTTTCAATGAAGTAAAATAAAGTCAAATCATACTCAAATGAATATTTTGTTAAATAAGAGGTTACTCTGCTTGAGTGTATTGTACACTTGGTAATGCCACTTTAGAGAAACAGTTTTCGCTTCAGTGGCGGGAAGTTCTCAGGCTGAGGTGAGTGACTTTCCAATGGAGTTTGTTTAATGTTACTTGTTTTTGTAACATGCCCACCCTGTCGGCAGAAGATATGCTGGAAATTATTAGAATACACTGTTTTAAAAATATGTAAGTTTAACTATACCAAATTCTCTTCACAACCAGACTAACTTAGCTCTTTAGTTAGTCACAGTTTGTTGTAACTAAGCTAACTGAAGCCCAAGCCCGATAGGGTAGACATCATTCATTTGTAGTTAATATTGCAATTTATAGAAATGTAATATTATAATTTATAGAAACATTTTCTGTAGATAATAAAGTGCTGCAGAGAACATCAGAGTGAGTAGGTGTGGGGGGATTTATATCAAATGAACTGAGAATGTACTTGAAGTTGAATGTCTCATTTTCATATTTTGTCATGTGTTCTTTGTGTCCATGTGCTTCACATGCTGATCGGCACTGTCATTTTATATTTTTAAATAATAATTGAATAATACTGTACCATAATCCAGTGTGTTCAGTATTCAAGTTGGAGGGGGTGGCTTAGTGCTACTAGCCTGTGTGTGTGTGTGTGTGTGTGTGTGTGTGTGTTTGTCCATTTGGAACACACATTCAAAGAAATAGTGACTGAAAGTATCTTGATGTCGTTTCTATTTATTTTATTTTTTTAGATGGGCGCTATATTCAACATACTTGAGCAGTTCAGACTGGAATCTTATTACAGCCATTTTTTCTCATTGGGCGTAAAGGATGAAAGAGATTTCTTGGATGGCATAACAGATGAAGATCTAAACCGCATTGGTGAGATGAACCTCAGCTTCAAACCAAAGACTAAACATTTTTACTAAACTTGGTATAAAACAATTCAACATGCATACATCTAGTTTTTTTTTTGCCTGAATATGTAATGTTTGTTGTACTGGGTAACCATAAAAATTAGATCCATTTACATGGCAGTACAATCCAATACAGCAATCCTGTAATACATTCCTTTTTTGTAAGATGTTTAATATTAATCCTTTTGCACATCTTCACAGGTTTAAGTCATGTCGAGAAGAATCGTTTTTCAGCAATGAAAAACTTCATTCAGAGACTCAGAGCTCCAGAGCGCCATGTTCAAGCAGTGACGCCTGTGCAGAAATCACTGGAGCTGTTCTGTCTTCAGTACACATACCCCAAATGTCCTCAACCAAAACACATCAAAGGTAAGGGGAACACATTTTTTTTTGTTTCTGATCATTAGATGAACTTGGGCTAACCACTAATTTGTTGATCAAGCAGTAGTATTGGATATCGTTTGTTTTTTTACTATTCCGGTGCCAAATCAATACTTCTAAAACAGTTCCAGTGTAGGTACCAGATCTGCTCGGGGTCCTGCACCTGCCAGTAACGTCACATAACATAATTGGCTGTACGTTTGTATGACGACGTGGCAGATTGTGATTGGTTGCATGTCGGAGTGTTTACAGACATAGTTTTTGCAGGCCCTTGAACCAACTACGGAAAGCTCTGGGAGAACTTGAAATAAAGCAGTACTTATTAAATGGGACTTACCAAAGCCTGACCATCAGTTGAAAAGACCTGAGAGCAGAATGGCCGTGATACCGGTTAATTAACGTTATGACGCTAATGTTAGCTACCGATCAAGTTAAGCTAAAGTGTGTCTGTAAATGTGAAATAAAACAAACATTTATTGATAAATACAGACCCCAAGCAGATCGGATAGCTATACCTGTAAATGGGGCACACTGTAGTTTGTCCGAGATCTGACCACCCGAGAACATCTGGTGCCTAAATGGTGCCTGAACCAATGCATGCAAATAAAATTAAAATTCTTTAAATTGAACAACATATTAACAGTTTAAAGTTTATTTAAATAGAAATATAAGTAAATAAAAAAACATAAAAAGTTTACATAGCAAATTCACAGTATATAAAATCTAAGCCACATAACCCAACTACAATAATTTAACACTAAATAGTAGTTATTGTCTGACAGCAAGTGAAAAGCGGTGGCGCTTCTTACGTCTGTAAGGAGCACTAGAGTGAGAGTAGTTCAATCGATATACATACTTCAAACCAAAATGTGCGTTCTAATTCGTGCCCGTAGGAAACGGTTCCATATTGATACTGGGTTTGGTACCCAACCCTATCAAGCAGTATGCAGTGTTGTGTCAGAAATAAGATGTGGTGATTGTGTTACAGAATGTATAGACCTCCACATATAACTGAACACGGCCCTGCTTAACGGTGGTTGTTTTGAACTTACAGATATGGATCCAGTACAAAACACGGTTGAGGACCTGATGTTAAGGATCGGTCATCTTGAGAGTGTTGGCAATTCCAACGGAGTCTGTCTCTACACTGTCGATGGGATGCCCCTAACAGATGATCCCTTCTTCAACACATGTGAGCAGACACCGTTTTACAGTGATGCTTACTAGGCTTTTACTAAGTTACTGTTGCCAGGAGTCTTTTTGTGTGTATTTTACTGAGCTTGTGGATACAACAGTGACAATACATTTGTACTGAAGCATCTGTAATCTTGATCCAGGACACTGATGATGCTTTTCGACTATCTCCATGCCCTGACCACAAGCGTGTCCAGTTCTTTGGCTGCAAGAAAATCAGATATGTTTGAAAATTGATGTAGTGTTTGGGACAGCGAGGTGTAGATGCATCTTTGAACTAATTGAGAACCAGCTGTGAAACGGGCATGAGCACAGATTCTGTGCTGACTTGAGGGTTTTTGTCTCGTATCTAAGAACTGGAGCAAAAGTCTTGTAGCTTGCATTTGCCATTTTTCATCTTTCCATGACTAAAAGATTTGATTGCATAATATGGTATTTATGTGTGCATAGTAAGTAGGGTTGCAACTAACAATTATTTTCTTGATTAATCGATTTTTGTTAAAATGTCTATAAAGGTCTATAAAATGTCAGAAAATTGTGCAAAATGTCTAAGACGTTCTTAAATGTCTTGTTTTGTCCATAAGATATTTAGCTTACTGTTATAGAGGAGGAAAAGAAACAACAAATATTTACATTTGTAAATAAGTGACTTAAAGCGATCAATTGACTATCAAAATAGTTAATTTAATAATTGCAGCTAATTAATTATTGCAGCTCTAATAGTGGTTTTAGTGAGCTTATTGCTGTAAAAGCAGCTATGATCATTACTTTTTATATTAACAATGGATCACATGACTACTTGTATGTGAAAGGGTGCAAACTTAATGATCAACCTAAAGAGAATTGCCATCCATCTAAGCTTTATAGGGTCTTTCAGCTCATTGTTTTGTTTTTTTACGGTCCACATGTTTACTGGTTTGGCTCAAGCTGGTAGCTGTTTTCAGAGGGAAAGCTTTAAAAACCCAGTGTACACTACCAGCTGCAAATAAATTCTAATGTTGATCTGTACGTGACGGGTTGTGTGTGACCATATCAACTTAAAATGTCGTCTACTCAAACAGGGTCTTTGAAAGACAGACATATTGAAAGTGGAGCTGTCATTTATGCAATCTTTACACCGAAGGAAAACCTGAAGCAGGCTCCTCAGATACCAAAGCGAGAGGTTGGTGAAACCTATGGAGACGACATGGTTCGATGCCACATCATGCTGAAGGTGCGTCTTAACAATATTGGTCATGATACAACTGATGAAGATATTGGCACCTAATGAATGGAAATTATTGTACGAACTAAATATGTTTGCTTTATGGCCCAGCTTAAATGTAATTCATGAACCATATTTCATATTAGCATGATCATAAATCCCTTTTAAAGATTATCTAACCATTATTGTGTTACAGTAACAAGACAAGCGTCCCTAGGGACGTCTCTTCTGATCACAGCACAAGCAAAGCAAAATGTTCAACTTCCTATATAGCCAGAAACCTTGGTTGGCAATATGTTTCAAGCTCGGTGCTCCCGAGGAAGCACTCTGTTTAGTATTTTAATATTCTTGGTGATTTTGTTTGTGTTTTGTGGATGCAGGCACATCAGAGGTTCTGATTAATACTTTTTGTAATCAAGAAGCTTCCAAATTCTCTTTCGTTAAATTTAACAATCTTTCGTTAAATTTAACAATCACAACTTAGCAATAATGTAATAGGTCACCGCTGTGTGTATATATACAATCAACACAATGTTAATTAAAGACATTCAAATTGTATCTTTCTAGCCCAACTACCATAGGCAGTGCTCAGCTTGTTCACTAGTTTAGACACAAAGTCATAACTAAGGCAAGTAGCCAATCAATGATCAAAGATAGAGTTCCAGCAATAAATTAGGTATCTACTAGATTACTGTGGTGCAAATATATATGACATGCAAATAAGTGAGTATAATTCTATCATTTTATGATTCAACTGACCCCAGGGCATGTGTAAAATATTTTAATTATTTCATACAGGGAGACTTTGAGGTGATGGTGAACTTGGCAAGTGACACCATGACCAGCCTGAGACTCAAGTTGGCAAATGAAAGTGGATTCCCAGCACATGTCCTTTATTACAAGTAATCATCACACCACACATTGATATTATGGTTTGTGACCTTATTTGTCATTACAGGTGTCTTTACCCACATAGCACTTCTGGTCTCTCCTGTGCTTATTTTGTTTGCAGAGGTCAGCATAGTGCTGGTGACACTCTGCAAAGTTGTGGAATCTCTGAGGGGTCAACAGTTGCCTTTTCTTTGTCCACCTTCTCTGATGAGACGCCACACGATGAGACATTCTTCATTAATGATGTTGTGCCTTCAGTCCAGCAAACCCAGAAAGGCATCAGTGTGTTCTTGTCTTCACTTTATGCTGTTGTAAGTAACTATCAGTAGCGTACACAATTTGATGGATCCACCCAAATCCATGACTGCACTCTGTATGTTCACTGTTGCTTTACCTGGTCAGAGCTTGTAAAATATCTACCATGTCCACGTTTTGTAACGTAATACCAAGTTTTTTACAGAGTGAAGTCTGTGTGAAACGCATACCTTTTTATAAGAGGAACGCTACCCCTCCCCCACCCCACCAGTGTGCTTATGTCTCTAGAGCACCAACATTTAAATTTACAACAGCAAAATCACTATATAAACTCAAAATCGGATGTCAAAAATACTGAGTGACGTTTAGAAAGAATAAAGAACTCCAATATCAGTCCTCCCTCCTCCTCCTCCTCTCTGCTGTTATTCACGGCCTGCAGGTAACTTTATTACCTGGTAGAGAAGAGTGGCCGGTTTATCTCAACCTCAATTGCTATAACGATGTGCCAAATTTTAAGCTACGTGGCAAACTAAAATGAACACACATACTACAGACAGACTGCTTTCAATTCAGCTTTTTTGTAACTAGGGATGAAACGATTACCGGTTTAACGGAAAACGATGGTGAAATTCTTGACTGTTATTATTACCGTACCCATTTTCATTACCATGATAACCGGGCACGGTTAACCGCGCTATTATAATCTCACAGCAAACACTGTCCAGCGTCTCCCAGAAGCAGGCACACACCCGTAGAATGCAACGTGGGTTTGTTTGGGTCAGATTCATGTAATTGCTTCATCACATGAATTCTGAAGCAGAGGCAGCAAAAATGTACATATCAGAAACCATCCTTGAGATGAGGTATGGACACTTAGGGATGAATTGCGATACCACTGGCGAGTGCTGAACTTTTAATCTTGCGCCATAATCAGGTCAGACTTTTAATTGTATCTAATACTGACGTGCATTTCCATCATCCTCACCTGTACGTTTAGTGGTAATTAGCATATGTTACCATGCTAACACTCTAAACTATGGTGATCTATTATGCCGATTACACATGATTAGTATCAGCATTTGTTAGCATTGTCACTGTGAGCATGGTAGGATCATAACTGTGGTTAGCAGGCTGAAATTAGCATTTAGCTCAAAGCACCACTAGCATGGTTGTAGACATTGTTTCCTGAAAAAAGGTTTTTAAACTGATCTGAAAAGATGGCAAATCCAGCATTAAAGTTGCCTCCATTGTAAAGTAACTTTATAATAAGAATAATAATAATAATTAATCTTTATTTTTTCAAAAACAAGTTACAAAGTGCTTCAACAAGTGCAAAGACAACAATACAATACCCAAAAGACAACAATACGAGCAAGAAAACATTGAAAAGACCAAAATACATGTTTAAGATAAATATAAAATAAGTAAAATAGAATAAAATAAAAGGGATAAAAGTATGTTTTAAGAAGGGACTTAAAAGAGTTCACTGACTCAGCCGACCTGATTTCCTCGGGCAGGCTGTTCCAGAGCCTCGGGGCCCTGACAGCAAACGCTCTGTCCCCTTTAGTTTTCAGTCGAGACTCTGGAACAGACAACAGACCTCTGCCCGAGGATCTCAAGGTACGTGCTGGTGCGTATGGGACTAAAAGGTCAGAAATATCACAAGGTGAGAGGCCATGAAGAGCTTTAAAAGTGATCAATACAATTTTAAAGTCAATTCTAAAACACTAATAAAAGGCAGTTTTGAAATTGGTCTAAAGTTTTGATGGAGGGAGGGATCTAAACCAGGTTTCTTTAAAAGCGGGTTCACGCAAGCTGTTTTAAAATAATCAGGGACACAACCAGTAGATAGGAGCTGTTAAAAACATAGATCAAATGGGGCCCAACAGAATCCATAACTTTCAGTAAAAACTTTGTAGGTATTACATCACCTACCTTTATCCTACCTTTCACTGTTGGCTTAATTATACATTATTTAAAATACATTTCATTTTATTTTTTTCTTCTAGAAAGGTCATTATAATAATGATCAACTGAAGAAACTGATTTCCTACATACGAAAACTGACTGGATGTAACCCTCTCGGCCAAAGTTTGCATCAGTTACTTTGCAGGAATGAAAGATTAACCAGGAACCAGAAGGTAAACAATATGAACTGGTATAATTCTGCCTTTAATATACACTGTATTTTGCTTTTTGTTTTCTTGTGCTCCATTGCATTTTGAGGATTGGTGCATTTAATATACATAGTTTAAAAAAAATAAAAAAAACATCTATAAAACGTTTTCTGTTGTGTACGTATATATCTGTCTGTCTGCACTACAAACAAAAGTGTATTCACCTTCAGTGTATTGGTCGCTGCAGTCAATATCTCAACAGATAAAATTCAAATTTTCTGCTCTGTAGTGGGAAGATGTTTTCCTGTAATTTGGGTGAACTGAACCTTTTACACAGTCACGTGTTTTCACCAGTACCCATTTCTTCTGATGCTCTTCTTTTGTTGTAGATTGCAGTTGTTGAAGGCTTGTACCTGCTCTTCAGACAACTTTTGCCTCAACGTGGAAGTCAACGAGGGGAGAAACTCATTGAGGACCTGGATGTCTTTGAGAATTCACTGTACTGCTGGGCACATCTCCTGTCAGAAGCAAAGGTTAGATGATAACGAAGTTTAGCTAATATTAGCTTGTGAAGCATAAACCAGTAACTTTAGACTTAAGTTCATAATTGCCAGTATTTTGTTGGATGCTAATATATCTTTAACACCTTTTTATGGAAGTTGGCATTAGGGTTGGGTGATGTCTACAGTTGTTTGATAGGCTGCGTCATTAATAAGCCGGCGGCTCACCTGCTGCTGTGTTAAGGGATCGCGGGTGGATATATACAGAAAAAAGACGATTTCTCAGTCTTTTAGGCGATTTTATAAAACATACTGCTGATGGAGAAAATGGAGCAGAGTTGGAGAGAGGGTTAGAGAGAGACAGAGACAGGCGGGTCAAGTCGGGGTGTTAACCTGAGGTGTAACATTAGGAGTGTGTCAGAGTGTGGGGAGAAGAGATTTCCGAGTCAGATGCAAAGCAAACTTAAAAACAATAATAATGTTCGTGGTCATTAAAACCAGATCAGGTCATTCACAGGGTGGTATAATGTGAAAATTTTAGATTTTTCTTGCTGGGGAGGCGGAGGTTTTACAACACGATACCGGCTCAACGTCGTGATGTCTTGTCAGCCATCGCCGATGAACGATGGCATCCTGAAAGAAGGTGAAACATGATTTGAATGTATTTATGAATGCATCGATGTGGATTCAGGTGTATCCAATGGTTGAGCACTTAAGTAATGACCGCTTCGGCTTTGTCTTATTTTGACAGAAACAGGCATCAGACTGTGAGAGCTATGCACCAATCACTCTTACGTCTGAGAATGGCAGCCGTTTCTGTGAACCAGTCAGAGTGCCTGGAGTACCTGGTACCTTTGAGCGAGCATACGTTCTCCAGAAAATCAAAGGTAAAATTTAAAAACATTGAAAAGTCATAAATCCGATCAAATTGCACTATGTTGAGGAGACGCACCATAGTGTAGTATTTATCTGAAAAGAGGTCAATGAGAAGATGCAGAAAAAGCAGCCCCACTGTTGACGGATCTGCCCCCCCCCCCCTTTTTTTTTTCTTTATTGGGAAGCAGCAACAGGAAATGCAATTGTACTTGTTTATAAGGCCTAGCAGCAAGATAGGGAAATTTTTCTGCCCTTTTCATGAGCTGATCTGTTTTGAATGCACTCTGAGGAGCAGTACAAGTAGCTGCAGTGAGCTACTTGGATTAAGAGCTGCGGCAATAGTATTTGTACAAATTCTATATTTTTCTTTCAGAACTGTATTTGTTAAATAGGTGGAAGGTGTTGCGCTATCAGCTTCACCTTCCTTTCTTTTTGTTTAGATGGAGATAAAATTCCAAACTGCACTGAAGAGATTTTGCAAGAAACATCGTTACAGAGAGCCAACGACATTGAAAAGATATTGCTCAGTTTGCCTCCATCCTTCAGAACATATCCTCTGTGGATTCATCGTGACAAGACGACTGGTCAAAAGTATGTATCAGATTTTTACTTATCATAAAAGTACTTTAATGAAATGCCTTTTCTGTTTATTTAGACAATTATTACCTTTGCTGTTTTTTTGCTGCCTAGTGATCTGCTCTATATGGTCATCGATAGACTGCAATCTTCATGACATCAGTGTTTTTCTGTTCTTAGAGCTATCTAAGAAGGCACAGGGCCATAATCAGGGTACCCGCGGGATCTTGAAAGTATTAAAGTCTTAAATTTAAGACCTGTACCAAGGTCTTAAATGTTTTCTTGTCCTTCCGTAGGATTTAATTTATGCCCTAACGTCATAAATGAATACTTTGTGTGTGAGACTTCATAATATACTCCGTTTGGTGTGACTGTGTTATACGGCAGTACAGGTAACGTTACTGTTTACGTTAATGTTTAGCTTTACGCTGCGGAGTGTTCGCGGTGCACGAGCTCTGGCATCCAGCTCTGCGCGAAACAGTCATTTGTTAGTAGCACGTCAGAGACGTTTTCTTTTCTAACGTTAGCTCGACGACTCAGAATGGGCAAGTGTCTGAAATTCAGAAAGCCAGAGATACGAACAAGTTGGCGGACGAAGTTGAGGGCAGTGGCGCTGAGGTTAGCACAGCAAGCTGATCGGCGTGCGAGCCAGTCACGCTGTGGCGAGCGCTAATGGAACAGCAGAGCTGGAAGACCCGCTGCAGGTTACTGGTCAGTGAATGATGCAACGAGGACAGGTGTGTATGAGACGAGGACCGTGTCTGTGTGTCGGCGTTGCACCGCTGTTGAAGTACAAACACACCCCAAGCTATAGTGTGTTAAATATGAATGTATTAAAATAAAATGTTTTATTAAATTCATGTGACTTCGTAAATTTCTTGGGCTTAAAATTCATACAGATTTTTCATTAAACGGCAGTGAAGTTGGTATTAAAGTCTTAAATTAAATTTGAGAATCCTGGGGGGTACCCTGATAATATGTTAAACACACAAATACTGTTTACCCACCTCTTTAATTATATAAGGCATATAATCCATTGCCTTATGCAGAGTTGATATGAGTCCGTACTAAGGTTGGAAAATCATTACATTTTAGTTTAAGCTTAAGTGTAAAATGCAGATTAAGCCAATTATTAGATTTAAACAGCAGATTGATTAGAGTTTTTACACATATCATTAATATGTTGTACCTCACCACCCAAAATGTGATCCTAATTGGCAGCAGGGATATCAGCAATCGTATCCAATTGTCAAAAGTTCATACATCATTAATGGGCACAACCCTCTTCTGTTATCATTCTGAGGCCAAAATGTCCACTTACTTACGTACATTCCACAATAAAATTGCCACGATATTTTATAAGCCTTAAAGCTAGGGTAGGCAATTATTTTAGCATTGTTATTATATTTGTTATTATATATTTGTTTACATCGCAACAGCAATCAATAAACTTGCCTACCTGCGCCCTCTGCCCGTGCACTCACTGCGCATAAAAATGTGTTTGTTTTCTAGCGGTCTCTTGCTAGTTCTCTAACATTTCCTACCCTAGCTTTAGCGTTCTCAAGGTGGTTACACATTTGCCATTTTGACACCCAAATGGTAAATCAGCAGCATTGCACACACGGACAGGTGCATTAGTTGGTAATTCCATTGAGTTTGGTGGTCCTGTAGCCTTTTCTTTTTATTGCCACCATATTGTCACTTGTTACGTTATAGACTGATTGCTATGACATCTGCCACATGTATCATGTCAACAGATGAAGCCTTCTGAGTTGCTGATATCCATGACTTGCTCTCTAGTGCCATCATGTTCTCAACAATTTTTTAGCCCCTCCAAGTGGCAAGGCTCTGACAATGAGCATAATGGTCTATGTTTCTGTTCCATCCAACAAAGTTTTGACTTGATCCTTGTTTTTTTACTAACCTGTACAATTAAATGGCAGTTTCCAGATAAAAATGAAGAAGACTTTCGGAAACATGGTGGAAGAATTAAAATCTCCCTCCAATCAATACCTCAATGTGACCCCACCTCTACATTTGAAGGAGTTAGGACAGTGTCAAGCACACCTTGTTCTTCTGAGTGAAGGTACTCTATTTAATCACAATCTGGATGGGTCATTTGTGACTGAACATGCATTTTTCAAATGGCACTGGCACCTATTTTAAAGGGCAAGACACACTGGCAGGGTATGAATCACATTAAAACGTGCACCTATTGTTTTTCTTAACCGATACACTAGTGTGGTGTCAGCTGCACCAGAGAAGAGACACTAGAATGAAATGGCAGTGCAACAGGACAAGAAACAAGAATCAACCAGTGGTAAAAAGTCACAATTTCTTAAGCAGTGGAGCACTAGTATAAAGTTGCATAATTTGGAAATACTGAAGTACTAGTACTTCATTTGTACTTCCAAATTATGCAACTTTATACTAGTGCTTCACTGCGTATGATAGGGAAATATTGTTTTTATTCTGCTAGATTTGACAGCTGTAGTCACTTAAATACAAAAATATAAACTTTTAAAATATGATGCATTACTGTTTATTAAAGGCCCTCTATACCCACACAGGTGTTTCCAGTCATGGGGCTGATTAGGCTGCTCAGGTTGGAGTTCTCCAAAAGTCTTTATACTTCATGAGAGTTAAGCAACAAGAAAAACTAACCGATCCCCTGAAGTCACAAAAACATTTATTGTTTCTTGTAGCACAGGATGATAATAAAATATTATGGTGTGTGCAAAAAAAATCCCTTCAAATCTATATAAAAAACAAAACCATCACATTCATGTCGCAAACGCGCACTTCGTATGATGTGTTCAGTTGTGTGGACGTGACGCCCCATGGCCAAATGTCAATATTATGTACTCAATTCTGAATCAATCTCAAAGGAACTTCCCATTGGTGTTCTATACTTCCTCTGATATTTAGTGCCATGTTTGTGGGAAGCTTTGTAATGTACATTTTGAGGGGGGTTTTTTTCTCTTTGTCAGACAACCTTGGTGTCAGTTTGTGTAAAGAAAAAGGATCCCCTGACATGATCCGCGTGCTTGATTGTTTGGATGGAAAAACTAAAACAGTGGATGTGAATCTATTGGCAGCCAGGTAATGTATAGTATCTTACATCAATCTAATGTTTTCCAGCAAGGTAGAGTTCTAGTAGAATACTGTGTATTTTTATTTTGTTTTTATTCCTGTCTATAAAGGAATTGGGAAAGAGGGAATCTATTATATTTCTGAAATGTTTCATATCGCTTCTTTTCACAAAAAAGTATATAAGAATAATTAATAATAAGAATAAGATATTAATATAATAAGAAAATATAAATTTTTGTGAATTGCCCCTGCTTTGCATTAAGCAAGTAGGGTGTGAGCATTTTACTGAAAACCAAACTTTTTAATGTAGTTTTAATATGTTAAATGAAATGAAAATTGGACTAACTCAAATCAGAAAACCTCTTGTTTTGCCTAAAGCCAATACCAAAGACATCCAGTCAAGTTATTTGAGCCAATTTGTGGCCATTTCTGTGCATAATGTACACACACTGTAGGTTTTATTTTCCAGTTTCTATTGCTATTTTTATTTCACCTGCACAAATAAGGACATCACACTGACAGTCAACTTGATACAGTTATATAAGTAGTGCACAAAATGAGAACCGATGAGGCAGCAGTAAACTATAAATCAAGGTATGTGCAGTGCCACAGTGTAGCAGCTGATGTATTTTCTTTTTAACTGAATGAACCTCTGTAAAAGTCATACTGTTTTGAAATTAACACAGGACTGGTGACCACAGAGATGACCGAACATTTGTCACAACCAGGCCTCCAAAAGAGGCTATACTGGTAACACTTTTCTTCTGAAGAAAATGGGATTGGCAAGAGAAATGTTACATTTATTTATTGCTTAACTGTTGTAGAGCTGTCTTTGTAAGTTTAGAGTCATTGTACCTGTAGTAATATAATGCATCTTATGTAGTGGATTATGTTATAATATTCCATCACAAGCACTAGGTTTTTAAAATTTAATGTAAAGATGTTTCTATTAAAATAGCGGAAGGACACATTTATAAAATGATGACTCCTGACTCAAATTTCCATCAGGTGCTGATAGATACAAGCTCTTCCATGGAAGAAGAGTGCTATGTAGGTGCAGAAATACAGAAGATTAATGCTGTGAAAGAGCTCTTTCACAACTTTGCAACAAGGAGCATGGCTTATGATTTTCATCATGTCATTGGCCTTGTTAAGTTTGACTCCATGGTGAAAACTCTCCACACATTTACTGAAAATCTGGAAAAGTTCAAGGTAAATTCAACCCTCTTCTATTTTAGAAAATGTTGTCTGTGTGTAATGCAATAATATGACTAAATGGATAAGGGTTTTTTTTGTTTTTGTTCCCCCGCATTTGTAGGAACACGTACGTAAGCTTGAGCCGAGTGGATGTACGCTGCTGTACGACGCCCTGCGACGTGGGGCATCTGAGTTGGAAAAGGTCAAGACGAGGTTCCCAGATTGTAGACTTCACATCATTTGTCTCACTGATGGAAATGATTCTGGGTACATTTCTTTCTCTGTTTTAATCTGTTTTTGTACTTTGTTTATATTTGACCTGTTGAACTGTAAGCAGTAAGAAAATTCAAAATGTCAAACTACAGATATATGTGATATTAAGTGCGCTGACATCTTATTCTTCATTCTACCCATAGATCCTCCATAGAGCCAGTTCCCGTTACAGCCAAACTGCTTAAATCTAACATCATTGTGGATTCAATCCTCCTTGGAAATGTGGAGAACAACATGTTGCATGGAATCAGCAATGCAACTGGTATGGCAAACTGTTAAAATAATGCCATGTATATATGCCATCAAACAGCAAATTGACTTGATGGAATTCAAGGGATCTCATACAACTCATAATTATAGTCTTATTTAATGTTGTTGACAAATTTCCCCCCCTTAGCATTATTATTATTTTTGCTACAAGGTTGAAGATATTTGACACCAAATGGGTCAAGCATACATATTTTTGTTAATTTCTTTTACGTTTTTGAAAGAGACCATACATAAACACCGACCGAGGTAGAGAGGGTTAGGGTAGAGAGGCAGAAATTGGCAGTGAAAGGTTTACAAGTAGTATATACCATGATGTGTACGTTAAAAAGTTTGCAGAGAGCACATTGTCGTGTGTGCATCTGTGTTTTACAGTCACTGTTATTACTGCTAGAGCTGGGCAACAAAACAATGATAATTATCGCAATATAGTTTTCCTCAATAAAAATATTAACAAATTTTCAATATATCGTCAATAAATGTTTGATTTTATTCATTTGAATCACCAATTAGCACTTAATTTTTGTGTTAAGATATTTATTTTGTTGAGGAAAGGGTACTGAAAAAAAAGTTTCCTAATTATAATTGTTGAAAAAAAGATTTTATCAGAATCATTTTGAATGTTCTACCTCAGATGTGTGAAGTGACCCACTTGTTGTAAAGAAAGAAACCACAATTAACAATCTGGTTTCTTCAACTTTCACTCAGGTGCCAGCCTTTAAACTTAAAAGCTGTAATGATTTTACATTTATTGTGATAATTATTGATATTGAATGGTATGAAATGTTTTTATCGTTATAACATTTTTGGCCTTATCGCCCTGCCCTAATTACTGTTACTCCACCATTGCCCTGAAGTGACCTCATTCAGCAGCCTCAGCCACCAGGAAAATAAGTTCAGCCTGGACGCTTGGCAGCAAAAACTGAAAACCGCAAACTCTAAACACAACCTCTTTGACGGTTCAGAACACTCACGCATCCGTATTGCTTCCAGGTGGTTGCTGTTTCAAACCACAGACAACCAAAGAGGGTCTCAGGCTGTTTGAGATTGAGACATTGCTGTCTTTGGAGCAGCGGAAACTCAAGGATCAACTTGACCCGTCTTCCATCAGTGAGGTTGGTTATTGTAGATCATTGTCCACCATTTTGTTGGAAGTGAGCTGAACATGAAACGCATCAGTTTCACACAGGCATAAACTCTGCACATTGCCTAATTTATTTGTCCTCTTAGAGTATTTTGTCAAACATCTTCGCTACTCATGGGTATGACGAATGTCCAGAGACTTCCTTGCCAAGCCAGATAAACAGCAAAGTGACAGTGACAGAGAGGTGAGTAATGGAAGCAACCATTTTGTTTAGGCTGATAATAAAACTGGTCAGGTTAATAACAACCATCTCCGTCTGCTGACGATCACTTTATTTTTTACCTGCTGCCATATTTAGTCTGATTTGTTAACCTAATAGGTTATGATTTTTGAACTGTAGCACAGAGATCAAGTTAACAAAGTAGAAGTTTTACACATTAAAAGAAGCTTCCTTGTTAAATTGAATTATTTCATGACAGTGCTTACAAAAATATTTTGTTGTTCAGGGTAAACAAGACTAAGACTCCACAGCCAAGTTTTTGGTGCACAGTGGTATATTGAAATATATAAACAAAGATAATGCTAGCATGCTGATGCTAAGCAGGTATGTTAAGCCAACTATGTTCACCATTTCAATTTAGCATAGCAACATTTGCTAATTGGCACAGTGGAGCTGGTGTTGATGGGAAGGTGAATAGCTTTTCAGGTATTTGGCCACTAACTGAAAGTATGACCTCTACCTTGATGAAAAGGGGATCACCGAAGTCGGTAAGCTTCATCTTCTGAGCTCCATGAATGTTTGTATTAATGTCAAAGTTATCCATCCAGTGGTTGTTGATATTTTTGTCTCGATTATGACTTCAAACAGTAATGGTCATATTTTGGGGCAAATTAACTGTTTTTTGTTTGCTTTACTTTTGAAGCATTAATAAGCTCTCTACATAAATAGTGCTCTGAAAAAGAAGATTCAGGAGTCAAAGAAGGGGTGGTTCCTGGAGAAGGACAAACGTATCCTGGAGGAACTGAAGAGCCTACATTGTGACCCGCATCCCTTCTTTAGAGTCTTTCCATCAGAGTCAGACTTCAGTAAGTGGCCAGTTCTCATATTGGTATAATGCATTTTTGTAATTTTTTTCCGGGAGGCACACTACTGTTTTTTGTTGCACCATAACGTGGAACCATGGAAGGAATCAGAAGGAGCTTTATTGCCAAGTAGTCTTTTACACATACGAGGAATTTGCTGTGGTGATAAGGTGCTACACGTAGACAAACATACAGTAATACATATACATACATAAATAAATGTAGAAATATATAAATATGGAATAGAAGAACGACGTTGCAGATATATACATGTGCATTATTCTGGGTCTGTGCCGTGCAGAAGTAACGCAACGGAAGAGAATATTGTGTACATATAAATGTATATTTTTATGTTGTCAATTTATATAACAACAAAGATCAACAACAAATATGTGCAACATGCCAGGTCTGTGCACGACGAGATGAAACCGTGGTGATGGAGGAGGTGAGGATGGACTCAATGATGGCGGTGTAGAAGTGCACCATCATTGTCTTTGGTAGACTGAACTTCAGCTGCCGCAGGAAGTACATCCTCTGCTGGGCCTTGAAGTCCTGGGAGATGATGGTGCCCAGGAAGCGGAAGGAGTCCACAGTGGTGACTGGGGAGTCATACAGGATGATGGGGGGAGGGTGGGACTGGGTTCTTTCTAAAATCCACGACCATCTCCACTGTCTTCTGAGTGTTGAGCTCCAGACTGTTCTGGCTGCACCAGGTCACAAGATGGTCGATCTCCCACCTGTAGGCGGACTCATCCCCACCTGAGATGAGCCCAATGAGGGTGGTGTCATCTGCAAACTTCAGGAGCTTGACAGACTGGTGACTGGAGGTGCAGCTGTTGGTGTACAGGGAGAAGAGAAGGGGGGAAAGAACGCAGCCTTGAGGATCCGGTGCTGATGGTCCTGGAATCAGAGACATGTTTTGCCAGCTTCACGTGCTGCTTCCTGTCCGTCAGGAAGTCTGTGATCCACCGATTGATTCTCAAAGCGGCAGTAGAACTGGTTCAGCTCATTTGTCAGGCGAGAATTGTTTATGGAGTGGAAGACTTTGGGTTTATAGTTTGTGATCTGTCTGAACCCCCTCCAGACAGAAGTGGCGTCGTTTGCAGAGAACTTGTTCTTTAGTCTTTCGGAGTACAGTCGTTTAGCTTCTCGCACCTCCCTGCTGAACCTGTACTTTAACGCCCTGCACCCGGCCCTGTCACCACTCCTAAATGCCTCCTCCTTTTCCAACCTTAGCTGTTGGAGTTTAGCTGTAAACCAGGGTTTGTTATTGTTATAACTCACCCTGGTGCGTGTTGGTATAGATGTGTCCTCACAGAAGCTGATGTAGGAAGTCACAGCCTCTGTAAACTCATCCGGATTGTTGGTAGCCTTCTTGAAAACGTCCCAGTCAGTGCAGTCCAAACACGCCTGAAGATCCTCAATAGCTTTACTAGTCCACTTCTTTGATGTCCTCACTACAGGTTTACAGAACTTTAGTTTTTGCCTATAAGCAGGAATCAGATGGACCATTAGGTGATCAAAGTGTCCCAGTGGAGCGCGTGTGACGGCGTGATAGGCACTGCTAACTGAGGTGTAGCAGTGATCCAAAGTGTTCCCCTCTCTGGTTGGACACGCGTCCTGAACGTTGGAATGTAAACACCGACCAGAGTGAATGAAGCAAACTCACGGGGGAAGTAAAACGGTTTACAGTTAATGATAAAATCTTCCAGATTAGGAGAACAGTGCTGCTGAATCACTTTAACATCGCTACACCAGCCATTGTTAATATAAAAACAGACACCTCCACCTTTTGTTTTGCCGGAGAGTTCTGTGCCACGGTCCGCTTTGTACAGTTGGAAGCCAGCGAGCTGCAGCGCAGAGTCCAGTATCAGCTCACACAGCCACGTCTCCGTGAAACACAGAACAGTCCTAAAAAAATGTATTATGTACTATATTCAAAAACTGTACCTTTTCTTTTTTTTTTCTAAAGTTTACATAAAGGCACTATATGAAAATGTCCACATTACCACCGTAGTCTTAGAAAATGTTCTCAGTGAAACATGTAAAGGATAAATAATTGTGTTGACCACTGGGCAGTAAACCTTGTTTTCAGGTATCATCAACTGCATTTTGCCCTTGCTTGAAGGTTTTTAATAGCAACAAGCTTTTTTTCTTTTCAGCATTCTGGAGGATTCTCATGCAAGGCCCTCCTGACACACCATATGAGAAAGGAGTGTTCGAGCTCTACTGCCAGTTCGGCCCTGATTACCCAGTGAAGCCTCCACTAGTCCGCTTTGTCACACAAGTATCCTGCCAAGATACAAACAGCTGAAATGTTTTTGCATTTGTTGTTCATTGTTAAAGTAATGTTAATTGTTAGGAAATGTATAAGGTATTCTTTTTTTCCAGGAAAAAAATTCTTAACATAAATACAGGTGTACCACTGCAATATCAACACTGTGGGCCGCATCTGTCACAACATATTTGACCGCAACTACAATGCACACATCACCATGAGAGAGATCCTAGAAGCTGTGTACGGACTGCTCATCATCCCTGAGCCTGACGATCCACTGGACAGGTGAGATTTACACACATTCATAAATAAGTCCCACTTAAGGTAAGGCAGGTAGACACTGAAGCCTTTTTTTTTTTACCAAGAGATATTTCTTATGTTAAAGGTGTTTTTGACCCATTTCCAAAGTTCAGTCTGTCCTATTGATTTAAAATATGGTGGAAATAGCTTCATTGTATCACCTGTATTTTTAGACGGTTACTTAAACTTGTGGTGATTTTTTTTTTTCCTTTGGAAGCATTTTGGCTGAGGAATTCCTGACGAGCCGTGACATATATGAACGAGAAGCCAAGAAACATACAGAGGAAACTGCAGGAAAGTCGATGGATGACATGGAGAAAGTAAATGAGCTCCCCTATATTACCATTAGACGTTACCTTTTTCCCCATTACATAATCTGTGTCCTCCTGGCTTTAAACTAACAAACTGTTTTATGTTTTGGGTTTTTATTTAAAGACATTGGTGGATCCTGAGCAACAATTCATTCCCCAACATCTGATCTGTCCACTCACCAAGAAGATGTTTATTGATCCTGTGAAAACAGTGTACGGCACTGTGTACGAACGCAAAGCCATTGAGGAACATCTGAAACAGTGAGTTTGTTTACTACTGTTGAAAATTTAATTAAATATGATGCGGTTGCCTAAATGACTGATATATGTTTAGAAACCACACGGTTTCATATGAACCCGTCTTTTAATGGAACATCTTAAAGTTCATGTGATGAATTAGACCCACCATCTTTTACTTGAAATAATAAAGACAAAAGCAGGTTAATGTCCGGTCACAAGTCTGAAACCATTATCACCTCCCCAAAACAGTCTCTGCAGCTGCATTGCCATGTATTTTCCCAGTTGACTGGACGCTCTTTTGCAGACACGCGTATGAGCCGTTGGCCGGCCCAGGGCACGAGCTGGAAATGAATGACATCACAGCCGACCAGGACATGAAGAAAATGGTGATGGATCATCGTTCTCGTCAAATAAAGTGAATCTGAGCAAAACATTTGAAGCAAGTGCAAGTTAGATATGCCTCTGTACTCTCCCACATATTCAGCTTTTTGAAGTGATCAGTAAATGCTTGATAAGCTTGTTCATACTTTTACTTTCATATAATACCTTTCAAAGTTTGTTTTCATTATCGTTCATTCAGAAGGTAATTATTTGAATTATGTAATGATCATAATATAGCCTATACATTTTGTTGTTGCTTTTACTGAATAAACAAAGGAGGGTTTGGTTACGTGTCTTTTTTCCCTGAGACAGCTTCTACTTGACAGTAAATAGTTTTCTCTGTTAAGACACTTGTGGTTGGAGTTAATTGTATTTAAATGTTTGTTTCTTTTCATGCTGTCATATTTTGACCATTTTCTAACTCAAATGATGAATGTATAACTTTTAAGGTAATTTAGATCGTTGTGACGACAATAATAAAGGGAATTCTAAGCACCCAGTCCTGGCTAATAATTAAACATTGTCATGGGTAAAAACATAATTAAGATAAAAACATCAAGATTAACATTCATTTGATGATAATTTAACTAATAGGGGAGATGATAGTTCACCAGTGGTAAGTAAAAATGCTAATACCACACTAGATATACTGCGTTCAAAGTAAAATTCCTGCATTGAAAATAATTAAAATGATGTAAAATTACTCATTATTAGATTATTTGTGTGTTAGATGTAGGACTGTCACTAATGATTGATGATCAATAGTTATATTACAGCTTTCACCCACGTTTATCTACCCAATGCGAGTTGGGTGGATTTAGTACTGATACTGCTGTTCCTTAAGTATTACTAGATTATCTCTTGAGTACATGCTCTAGGACCAATCTCCGTCCCCAATTTTGCCAAACGTCACGTGATCAGGTCTGGGCGTGAGCCATGTGATCCACTGACCCCAAAAATGAGAGGAAGTGAATCACTCTTCAAATTATATTCCCTTTAAGTAGGACAAATTATTGAATGCATTATAATCCCACATACTATATTAAAGTGTCATTTTACAACAACAACAACAAAATAATAAAACCTAAATCCTATAATTTCATGTTTGTACGATTTGTTCCCGATTGAAGGGAACCTAAAACGCTTGCGTCAGTGATACTATTTTGAAAGCTGAAGCCGGAAGTGTTTCAAATGTGTAGTTAAATGTTCAGCTTGACTCGAGTTGGTTCATTGAGTGAAATCTTTTTTCGGTACATTTTAGTGGAAACAGGAGCGAACAGACCGCAGGTGAGTTTACCTGGAGTTTCCCTAAATAGTTTTACTTTACTTTGTCGGATTGTTAACAGTCGAAGTTAGACTGAAATACTAACGTTAACGTTACCTGAACAGGTATAACGTTAACCTTAGTTTTAAGTTAACGTTACTTAGAGCGTTCATGATGACGTTAACTTTAGCTAGTCAAATAACACAGTTATTGTGAAGGACATTTCTGACAAGGCTATACTCTCGTACTGTAGTACTAACTGGAACATTAAGTGCAGTGATTTCTTGTCCATAACTTATGCAGTCATGGCACTGATTTTTATGCCATTAATTACTATTTTATGTAGCTAGCAGCAATGTCAGAGTTAGCACAGCCTTGCAACGACATCTTCAGCAGGTGGGATTAGTGTCTAACGTTATCTGAAATATTAAATGTGGTCATGTTCTTGCGACACGTAGTTTTATTGCAGATAGGTAGCCTGCCTTTCCTGCATAACCTGTTAAGTCACCTCCGTTATTCTGGAAAGTGCAAACACTGAAACTCATTTTGAAACCGTCGCATTGGATCACAGTGTGCTTGCTGTAGTTGTACTGCCTGTGTTTGGACTGTAAGATGATGCAAGAATTACCCCCAAGGAAGGGGCCACAGGTTTCATGTCAACATTAGCGGGAACTCACCCTGGATTCACACCGACATACTGCAGGTTAAGGAGGTGAACACAGCCCTCTCACTTTTATTAGAAACAAGAAATGAATGAAACAGAACACACAAAAATATTGGTCTTATAGCTAGTGGCCACTATAAACATCTATGAACATCTGTCCATGTAATGGTCACTGACTTATTGGGCATTCAAGAGAGTTTCAAGCACATGCAGAGCCCATTCTTGTGTCATTTGTGCTTCTGAGCCAATCAGGATCTGCTTGTGTGTGTGTGTGTGTGTGTGTGTGTATACATACATACATACATACATACATACATACATACATACATACATACATACATATAATCATTTGAGAAAATAAATCTCTCTCATCTACCTGAGAGGTACTGGAGATGCCTCTTTCCCAGAGAAATCTTCATTTAGAACAGCCAGTCAAAGCAACACCTACCAGAAACCAATAAAAGCTAAAACATTCAAATTAGGCTTTAAAGTAGCTCAGAGTAGGAATGTTTTATCATTTTCTTAATATGACAAATTTCAGTAAGATAAGTGACAATCTATGAAATTATTCATTAAGATTTATTTTTCAGTTCTGCCTGTAAAATGGATTTTTAAAGATTTGTAAATAAACTGGACTCAGATTGGCTTTTTGTTATACTTTTACAAGACACCATAACTATCATATATCTACTTTAGCTTCTTTAATTACATCAAAGTAACCACACTGCCTTCCTCTGCTTGTGTTCTGGATGTCCTTTCTGTAGAGAGATGTGGTGGGTGCTGTGGGTGCTCGTCGCCTTGCTCGCTCTCTTCTGCTGTCTGGATGTGTGGTACTTCCTACGGGTAGCTGCTGTCATTCTCCGGGCCTGGTTCCAGCCTCCAATCTGGGATGTCACCGCAGAGCAGACCCTTACAGGTCTGGTCACTACCAACGACATTGACATGTGCCACATGAACAATGCTCGTTACCTCCGGGAGTGTGACTTTGCCCGCTTCTCTCTCTACATGCGCAACGGTGTGTTCAAGGCACTGCGAGCGCTCGGAGGTTCTGCGGTAGTGGGCGCCACCACCATCCGTTACCGCAGGGCTTTGTGTATAGGCGAGGGGTACGAGCTGCGGAGTCGCATTGTCACTTGGGATGACAAAGCGTTTTTCCTGGAGCAGAGATTTGTGTCATCAAAAGATGGGTTAGTGTGTGCCGTCATGTACTGCAAGCAGAGTATCATACGCAGTAGCCCAGACAAGATCATGCAGCACTTGTGTAAGCGTAAGGTAAGGAAGGGATAATTAAACACATTTTACACCAGAAAGGAAATAAAAAGTCCTTTCATACTTGAAGAACGTTGAGTCTATGGTTTGCTTCTTGCAGGTGGAGTGCCCTGAGTTTCCAGAAGACCTTCAGCACTGGGTCAACTTCATCTCTGCCAGCAGCCATTCCCTCAGGTCTGAGAGTGGACTTGATGAGAAGAACAAATAAGACATTGCATGGGCAGCTATTAAGACTCCTTTTGTAAACCAGCTGATTTACTCACTCAGGATTAAAAAGCTGTCTGAGAGAGACCTTTGTCTCTTGTTCACAAATACTTGCCTTAAACACACTTGTGCCTACACTTTTGAAAAATAAGCCCAATACTTACCTATCTGAGAGACTGGAAGAACTAGCACACCACATTGTTTGGCTAGGCTGAAAGAAAATAACTTATTCAGTAACAGGAAAGTAATATGATTGTATAAATGTGTATTTTCTTGTACTATCACAGCAATTAAACACATCCATTTAGAATTCCTGTTGATGTACTTTTATGCCCTCACTCTGCATACAGACACACAGCTGTGCAGAGAGTTTCACACTTCCAATAAGTCCAATATAGGAGTTCAAGTGAAGCTTTTACTGTAAGAAAATGTGAAAAACAGTGTGGTGTAAAACCAGTGACGGTGGTTACAAATGAGGAAAAAGAGGCAGCATACCAAAAACAAGGATTTGATAAAAGGTGAAAATGAAATTACAAGAAAATTGGACTAATTATCACATCACCTGAGACAGACAGAGCAACAATTAAGTCCTCACAGCAAGTACATAGTCATTAATTTAGTCAACAGATTCCTTGAGAAATAAAATGCATAACATTAACTGCAGCCCAAAAGTGAATGAACAGTGAGCTGTAATGTGACATTAGCAACACATTCGATTAGATGTGCCTGTAAATATTTGCTTGGACTCCGATTGGGCGAACGGCTCTGTGGTTGGTATGGCAACATGATGTATATAAAACAGCTGTTGGTGGAAGAAGAAACAGATTTTTGCTGAGCTCTTAAATTTTCTTCAGTTATTTCATTTTTTTTAAAAGGTTTTATTCACCAGTAAAGTGACAGTCATAACAGACCTTTGACATGTGCCTGACTATCAAAAGAAACCTTAACATTCAAGACTAAATAAGTGTAATTAATAACAAGATAACATATTGCCAGTAATTTTCAAATATGCACACACACATACAGTGTGTGTATATATATATATATATATTCACTGAGATATTTGATTTCTGTAAACTGTAATCACCAAGATTAAAACAAAAAAAGGCCTGAAATATTTCACTTTCTATGGAATGAATCTAGAATATATGAAAGTTTCTCTTTTTGAATTACAGGAAAAATTTATTTTTTCACAATATTCAAATATTTTGAGATGCACCTGCATGTACAGTATATGTATAGAGAGAGCGAGAGAGAGCTCTAATTGGATAAAGGTCAGATTATTATTATGGGAGTGTAGTTTATGGACATGCATCAAAAGGGCACTCCTAGCCACAGAGATGAAGTATGCCAATGAACTTCAAATTTCTTAAGTGTGTATACTGTTGAGTTGTACGTGATTTTGATGGCTTTAGAAGAGATTAAACAAATCACACCAAAGATGTAGTCTGTAGTGTCTCAGTCTCTGCGCAGTCCAGGTGCATCCAGTAATCACTAGGATTTAAATAATGGCAATACATTCGAAAGTAATAAAACAAGGCACTGAGGTCACCAGTTTGGGTTCCTCATTGTTTAACTTAAACACTCTTGCCAATAAAGAACATTGAACTGAAGTGAACTGAGTGGCCAAACTAAACTTTCAGAATCAGAGGGAAAGGAGTATGGACATTTTATGAAAGAAAATAGAGCACTGGGATCAGGAGGTTTTCATTCAGAGTGGATATTGTGAGAAATAGGGGAGGAAATCTGATGAACTTGCACGTTTCAATAACTGCACAATCTCAATTATTATTTTATAAGTTTTATAATGTAGATCTTGTTTATGCCGTATTTTTCTATTTATATAGATTAATGTCTAGCACCTAGTCACCAAAGCAAATTCCTTGCATGTGTAAAAAGTACTTAGCAATAAATATCTTTCTGATTCTGATTCTGAATTAGAAAGAGGAGGTAATAACATAGACTGTATATAAAAATAAGTAATAAGTACTGTAGGAGTTAAATAACTCCAGGAGATGGCGGTAATGCAGCGTCGGGGATGCTGCTGCCGTTAAACTCAAAGAAGAAGAAGAAGAACTGCGTGTCGTCACACATCCGGAAGTCATGTTCATTCATTGCACCGGTTTCTTCAAGTTATATCGCATCCAATGGTAGCACTCTCTCCTGGACGCACAGTAAGTTTTACAGCCATAAAAATATTATTCCACCGTATTTGTGGCGATTGCTTAAATTTCGGCCACGAGAAAACTTAAAAGCAGCGACTTCACGCGTCAACAGTGTGGTTTCTATTTTGCCAAGGCCACCAACTACTAGCAGCTAGCAGCTAAGCTAACAGATTTGGCTGTCACAGCAGGTTGCGCCGCCTTCATTTGAATGCAGCAGCGTTTAGCTTCCCAGTCCTCTCAAGGTTGAAGTGTGTGTGAATAGGGTAATAAGCTGCTTCCGTATTTCTTTAGCTACAATTTTAGTGAAAAAGCATTAAAATCTTGTTTTTCTACACATCTGCACTGACATTGATGAGGTCAAAGGAGCATTAGAGTTAATACTGAGTGTGATCATGAATTTAGAAACTCCTTTTATGTAGGCTTTTTAAAACGGAAATTGTCAAACTCAGCTATTGAAGTCACTTGGAAATACTATTGTAATATTTAGCACATTTGTGTCACTAATATTTGGTCTGTTGTTCCAGAGAGATGCTGCTGCTGGTGCTGGGAGCCCTCCTGCTGCTCTTCTGCAGTCTGGATGTATGGTACTTCCTACGTGGCGTCCAGGTGTTCATCCAGTCGTGGTTCCAACCCCGGATATGGGACATTCTAGCTGAGCAAAGCATTGATGGCACGGTCCTTCCCCATGACTTGGATTACATGGGCCACATGAACAACTCCCGGTATCTAAGGGAGTGTGACTTTGCCCGCTTCCATCATTACATGCGGAACGGGCTGTTCATGGCCTCACGCAAACTGGGTGCCAAAATGGTAGTAGGGGCCTCCACCATCAGGTACCGGCGCTCCCTCGCTTTCCGTGAGGCTTTTGAGATTCGGACCAAAATAGTGGGATGGGATGAGAAGGCGTTTTACCTGGAGCAGCGCTTTGTGTCCAAGACAGATGGTTTTGTTTCTGCGATTATGCTCTGCAGGCAGAATGTGGTGCGCTGCAGCCCAGAGAGCATTATCGAGTTTATCTGCAAAAGGAAGGTGAGGAATAGCAGGAGATGGAGTAAAGTATTGGTATGACTGCTGTAGGGTTGCAACAGGGGATTCTTTATATTATCAATTCATCTGCTGATCATTATCTCAATTTATTGTTTGGTCAAAAAACAACTTCTTAAAGCCCAAGGTGATGATATCAAATAGTTGCTTTTCCCCAAACAACACTCAAAAAAAATTTTTTCATTATTGAATAAGACGAGGAAAGAAACTACAACCAGAAAATATCAGGCTTTTTGTTTGAGAAATAACTTACAGGAATAACTATCAGAATACTTGTCAAATATTTTTCTGTCAGTCAGCTGATTGATTAATCATCTAATCATTTCAGCTTTGCCGTTTGGTCTTAAAAGTGTCCATCAGGAGTTTAGAAAACCCAAGGTGATGCTTTACATTGTGTACGACCAACAGTCCAGAATCTAAAGTCATCCCTTACTTTGGGAAGGCTATAACACTGTTACATTTTAATCTACAAGATTATTTCAGGTAAACCTCCGATTCATTTAAAGTTTTTAATCTTAAAAAGGAAGTCATGATCTCACGGTCACACAGTTGGCTTCAGTTTGAAGTGCCTGAACAGAGGTTGGCAAACCAAGCCTGTTCCACACACGGCCCGTAGTCCTGGAACGATGTGCAGTCCAAGCTCAAACTTAAGACCCTTATCTCTTTAAAGGATTTTAAAAATAGAATAAAGGAAGTGGCCACTGTTAGCTGAGGTTGTTTCACCAAATGAACATGTGATTAAATATTACTGCCTTGCTTATGCACTTTATTATGTAATGTATTTTTGTTATACCTAACGTTGCCATTGTGATTTGCCGTTGTTGTCGTCCTGTTAATTGTTTGATGTTGCTGTTTGACCCTCACTTGGCTAGGTCTCACTTGTTAATCTCATTCTGACTTCCTAGTTAAATAAAGGTTATTTATATACTCAGTTTTCTATCACACAAGACAAAGAATAGCATCAAATCCTCACAAACCTGCATTTTTCTGTCATGTGATAGTTGTTTCAGCTCTGGACTTTTATTTCACGTTGCCATTCTGCCAATTTTGTGTGCAGATCGAGTGCCCCGAGTTTCCTGAGGACCTCAAACACTGGATTAGCTTCATCTCAGCCAGCAGCCAGGCCCTGAGAGCAGAGAGTGGACTGGAGGAGAAAAACAAGTGAAGCCACACTATGACACCGTGGTCATGAGTGTAGACATGCATATCACTTTCATTGCACGCACGCATATACATACTCACACAAACAGTTTTTAGTTGAAGTTCAAAATTCCATTTATCTGTTTTTGGGTCGAACCTACTTGCTGTGTATTTTTGTATGATGTGATCAGAAATACTGAACTTCGGACAGCTGAATATGAAAACTTGAACTGTAAGGTATTCCATGTTTTAAAATCCCCTACATGCATTGGGATCATATTGGAAGTTATTATCTCAGAAGAAAGCGATACAAGAACGCAGCTTTATCCTTGCAGCTTATTCGGCCGTGGACTGTGAATAGACTGGCTTCTACATTCTCATTTAGCAAAATCCTCTAACTTCAGATAAGCATGTAGCGCAAAAGTTAATCTTCCACTGACATTAATGCATGTTTTCAAACAAACAGAAAAAAAATGTTGTGCCTGTTTTTCTTGATTAGCCGTAGTTTGCACTTTAATAATTTCAGAGAATTATAACTTTTTATGTAAAAACAAACAAACAAACAACAATTTAGGTTTGATGAAATACTTGAATGGACATCATGAACATGTACGGTCAATTGTTTTAATCTTCCCATCAGCATTTTGCACAAAGTAACCCAAGTGAGGAGACAAAATGAATACCTGGTAACAATTTAAAAGGGAATATTTGATTTTGAGGGATCCTTTTAACAGTATAGTATTGTGCTTTTACCTAATGAACAATACATGCAATTAAAAGGTGGGCTTCTTAATTGGAATTGCATGTAATATTAAGAGAAGCTGCTTGAATCTGAATTTACATGCATAATAAGCAAATGCTAATATGAGGTTGCTGGCAACTTTTCAAAACCTGCACTGCACGATTACTGATGTTAGAATGATTTATTGAGACAGCTTTTTGAAATCTGGAACCTTTCCTTTTGATGCATAAAAAGCTTTAGTTTGTGACCAAAGTAATGTATTGTTCTGTATGAAGAGGAAACAAAATCAATTTATAAAGATGTATATGTCTAACTTGTTATTTATGTTGACAACAAAATCATGTTTAATTCGTTTTTGTTTGCAGATGTGCATTGTCCTTTAATTTTCCACTTATTATTTATGATCTTTTGAAATGGATTCATGTACTAAATTTTATTTATTGTGTTATTTAAAGGCATTTTGAATTAAAAATGCATTGGAAACTATGTTTGTGATTGGGCTTGCCTTTTTAAATCCTTTTTATTCAATAGCAATTTGAGCCACTAATGTACTGTGGTTAGTGGTCCTATGGTGAAGACCAGTAGCCTGTACTACGAAGGGAGTTCAACCTACTCAGAGTTAACTCAGGGTTATCGGGCAAACTCTGACTGCCTCCACTGGAGTTAAACGGTACTACGGCTGTGAATAAGATGTTGGTTAGTTGAGTCGGAGTTAACCCGGTGTTAATGCAACTGGAGCTGTGCGTGTTCACATAGAAAGGCAGTGTTCTATGAGATGCCCCTAGGGACATTATTCAGAATTACCATGCATATATACATGTACTTTTCCTCTCACATACACATATGAAACCAAACTCATTCACATACTATACTGAAAAGCTCACACACAATACAAGTGAAATGCTCTCACACACACAACTGAAACGCTCACGTACATACAAGCGTCATGCTTTTACACACACAACTAAAACGTTCCCCCACACACACAAATGAAAACCTTACACACACATAAGTGAAATTCTATGGTTGGTCCCAGCCAATGATCCCAGCTTGCACTTCAGGTAAGTTAACATTAAAGCTATACACCAAAACTTTAAATAATGACTTATATGTTATTGACATTATACACAAGATTTAAAATGCCTTAATGATTTTAAGTATTTACTGTAATTGTGGTTTGCAACACCACAATTGTCTAAACGTGAATCAGCTTTAAACTAAGTTATAGCTGTTAAATGTCTAACAAACTATTTGAAGCAAATCAATTAAACCTGAATTCAGATTTTCAGATGAGTCAATAATTTGGATGTCACTTGATTATAGTGTTTCTTTTAATAAGTCAATGGTAGGCTAATGTTAAGTTAAATATGGTAACATGCGCTATTTTGCTTGCATAATGGTAGCCATAGTTATTTCCAGTTTTTGGCCTATTAAGTCATTAAAAGGCCTTCTCTACTTCTTTTCCCACTCCCTGCTAGGAAGAGCAGCACTGGATCTCCTCATCGTCCACTGTGGTTTTAAACATCTGTGTTTTATGTCCATTTAAAAAATGGCTTATGGTTCCCATTGCAATAAATTCTAAATATATTTATACTTTAGACTTATTTTGTCTTTACTACTGACTGAAAATGTTCATTTTACATTCTGATTGTCAATTGAAAGAACCAGCTCATCATGCAACACAGATAAAACATTGAATATTAAAGCTTAACTCTTTTGCTAAGGGAGAGCAGTCTAGTATAAGTTGAAAAGTGAAAATACTGTTTCGTCTTCTGACCTTGGTCAGAAAAGGTCAGAAGATTAAATAGTTAGGCAGTTTTTTTTAACATTGTACCTTATACTTGAAGATAACATAGGAGCATTACACTCAGCAACTAGAGCCAGAGAAGGTTTTGAAGAGTGCCTTGTTTGCTGCTCTCATGTACAGTAAGTGTAGTTTAAAGACAAGAGAATGAGCACAAATCCAAACAAAACTGGGTAAAGTGCTTAAACAAAGAATGAACTGAGAAATTATGAACCCCACTAGATGTATCATTAATTGCAATGTTGCAAACTCTGAGGTATTCTCAGGCAAGTAGCCCACACAGAGCAAAAATAAACAATCAGCTGATCGAATGCACTTGTAGCAAATATGTGCTTTCTATCATTTAATGTTTTTCACCCTTTTGCCTCACTACACACTATACAGTAAGCCAATAAACATGTAATATCCACAAGACCTACTCAAGGGTCACAATAAATGACACCATCTATAGAGCTTCAAAACTATTCAGTGTACAAATAATTTTTTTTTTAATGCAACTTCTTAGTGAATGTCACATTTGTCTCTTAAAGAATTTCTCCTTCTTCTCTAGCTCTGCCAGGAGTCTGTCTGGTCAGAGTGCGCCTCCCTAAGCGCTGGTGTGCTGGCATTTAATAACTAGCAGTGGGCTAAAGCCGACCCATCTGATTAGTATGAAATTGAACATATACTTTGGAAGAAATCAAACTATGCTCCAATGCTTGTCAGAAGCAATAAACACAATGCCGTTGTACAATCAACAGTTGTTTGCATGTATTGTGGGATGTGTGCTTTTATTTAAAAAACTTCCTGTTCAACTGAAATCCTCTCAACAACTACGTACTGAAATGCTTTTATACAACATACATTTTACTTGAGTGTGTGAGAGCTTTTCAGTTGTGTGTGTGAACGTAATATTTTCAGTTGTGTGAGTGAGAGCATTTTACTTGTATGTGTGTGAGCTTTTCAGTATAGTATGTGAATGAGTTTGGTTTCATATGTGTATGTGAGAGGAAAAGTACATGTATATGTAATTCTGAATAATGTCCCTAGGGGCACCTTATAGTGTTCAGTCGTGCAGACAGAGTTTTTTCGCAACGGCGGATGCTCCGTATTTTCCCCAGAAGAATGCACGTTGATTGTGTCCAGATATGAGGAGTTTAAAGACACATTAACGGCCAAATCTAACACTGTGGCAAGGCTACAACATCACACACACGTCTGCCGTGTACTATGCAGTGGAAGATTATATTAGACTTCACAATCGAATTTAGCAGTGAGGAAATAGGTGAGTTTAGCCCACAACGCTATATTATCATGCACCTTAGAGCCTTAGGCGTGAATTGGGTGTAATTTCTTCTATTCAGAAGAAAACCCCAGAGTTATTTGCGTCAATGCTTTTTAGTAATCGAATTAATCGATTTAATCATTTCAGCCCTAATCTCTTTAAACCTGTCAGGTGCTGGAAGAGTCATTCAAGTTGGTTTCCCGTTGTACATTTCATATTACTTGTCGTTGATATTGACATTTCTGTGAGTACACTGAGTACTTACATTGCAGGTTTTGAAGAAGTCAGTCATCCTCTAGCAGGTTCACTTGGAGGGCAGGGAGGGTTGGACGCATCCCATTTGTACCTCATGTTGTTCCTAGATTGACAATCAAAATAATTATTATACAAATATTTTTGCAGCACATCATATAGTGTAACAGTTCTACCAGTGTAATTCTAAATTAATAAAAATATTGATAGCAATAACAACAAATCCATCCATCTGCAACTACCTAAAGACAAGTCAAATTTACACAAACACAGTGACTCAAACAATGGGTGAGAAATAAAAGCTAACCATAACCTTGAACATGACAATGAAAGACATTTGGAAGCCAGTGCAGGAGGGCTGGACCCGAATATTCGACTTGTGACAACCTGCAACTACCTGGGCCCCGTTTCAGAAAGCGGGATTAAATTAAATGAAATTCTGAGTATGTTAAGCCTGATATGAGGGAAACTCTGGGTTTTCTGTTTCAGGGAGCGAGATCCGATAAACCCTAGATAAGTAATTCCGGTAATTGATGCTGTGAACCTAACCTCCTCGGGAGGAGGTTCTTAAGACATTAATATTAAGACAGCACTTGAGTATAATAAAATTAGAGAGCCTGATGTCTTCCATCAAAGCATCCATGAGTAGAGTAATTGTTAGGCATTCCAAATGATTAGGTAACCATTTTTGGTAGTTGTGGTATCACTAACTATTGATGCATTAATTACCTTGAATTAAGTTGGTCTTGAACTCCTACCACATTCACACCAATGATTCTGATTTCTCTTGATTCTGAAATGCAGGCCCAATGTATTAAGCATAAAAATGATCTCAAAATAGACCCAAAAATGTAATTGAAATTTCAAAAACATCATCAAAATTGGTCCACCAGGAGTTTTGAAAATGTAAGTAACTGATTCACCATCCTCAATAACCCCCAAAACCACTCCAAGGTTGTCCAAATTGGCCAAGCACTTGCTGAAATATTGTCCACAGCCTATATGTGATTATGCTACTTTATGCTAATTATGCTAATTGCCCATGCTGGGGACCCATACTATACATTTCTAGCATAAAACTTTGGGGTACTCAACATTTCCTGGTTTACCTTGCTAGCAAGTAGACTATGATGTCAGTACTAAGATGGAAAAAAAAAAGTCAGGACGTAGTGCTTGGTTTTTGGCGGAGGTGCGATGTGTAGGCCTACATTTATTTAGTAGCCTACAGTTTTGAGGTACTTTTCTACTTCAAACTTTTTACTGCACAACATTAATCTTACCGCGGTAGTTATCATTTGCACGTTAAAATTTTAAATTAAAAAACATTATTGGCTTATAAAATGTGTGCTGTAGCCATTGTTATACTAACCAAAAGCGTAGGCTATATAAAGTAAGTAAAATTAGCTGGACACCAGTCAGCTATATTACAGTTTGAAATGTACAAAGCAGTAAATTGGGACACAAAAGGTAAACATTAACAACCTTATCTGTAAAGATCTGAGGTCATATTAACAGTGTTTACCTGCCATTATAAGGTGGTGAGGCTCAAAACTGCTTGGTGCTGCACTGTGAATGTAAAATCATTGTTGAGAGCATCAAAACTAATTCAGTTACTTTCCCCAGATCTAATGGTTATAATTCAAACCCTGTAGACTTCTTTAGCAAGTTTAGCTTTTGGGGTGGAGTTTATTCAAATTCTGCAAATTCAAACTTATTATTTACAGATGTGGTAATAATAGTGGTCCAAAATATGTGAAATTGCATATTTTTTTGTAAGAAAACATAAATAAAATATTTTTTTTCTTCTGGGATGCAATGCATCTAATCTGTGTTCAGTACTGTTACATTGGAATACATTTATTTACTCTGCAAGTCGTTTTGTGATTGCATTTCCTTTGCACGTTTTCTTTTTTTGATGTAGTTATATATGGTCTTAAAAAGGTCTTAAAAAGTCTTAAATTTGACTGGTCGAACCCTGCTTTTACTTGATTGAATGCAACTACAAAATCTGAATCCTTCAAAATAAAGGTTTCATCTCCACCATTCTCAACTACAAAAAGGACAAATTTTGTAGTAAGAACTCCTTTTGATCAGTACTTCCTCCTTACGCTGCCATTAAATTTTTTTGCATTTAAAGCCTATACAATTGGAATGGTATGGTATTTT